AAAAAAAAAAAAATAATTTTTAACGCGATAAAAACTTTCCCGTGTAGCCCTCTTAATCTATATATATAATATATATATAATATATGTATAAAAAAAAAAAAGAAAATACAATGTCTTTGAAAAAAAAAAACAATAAATTATTTACAAGATAAAAATAATGAATTATCGTTCAACACTTCAAGTGATGATAACTCATTGATACGCCATGCTATTAGTGTTACCTGTCATAGGGGGAATATTCAGATTCGGATTACTAACTACTGGATTTGTTGAAATTCCATTGTTATTCATTACACTAGTTGGTGTTGTTGTATTAACAGAATTTCTTAAATTTTGCATTCTTAACAAATATTCAGTCCAATCGGTCCAATCATTCCAATCAATTGCTGATGGTAATGATAAAAATGGATTATTATTACCCATCGAATCATCCATTTCAAATAATAATGATGAATCTGGAGTAAAAGTATTGGCATTTTGAGGAAACAATCCACTATCTGTTGTTAAATATTCTGTGAATTGCATAAATCCTGATGATGTCGAAGTAGTTGATTCAGGGGATGAAGTTTGCTCGTATTGCATTGCATCATTCATCGGTGATTTCATTGTTGTTGATTGTGGACTGTTCACTGATGATGATGTTAATACTGGGGTAGATATCGAAGTCGAATTGTTTATAATATTCTTTTTTGGTTGTTGTTGATGTTGATGTTGATGATGTTGATGTTGATGATGTGGTTGTGGTGAATTCCATAATGTCGGGTATGGTGACGTTTGCTGATTTTGTTCAATTGAACTTGAATTTGTTGGATGCGATGTGGCAAAGGTAATCTTTGGTAAGGGTTGTCCATCTTTTAATTCCTTAAATTGACATAAGAAAGGGTTTCTTTCTTTTAAATCTTCTACTTTACCATGTTTTGATAAAATACCTATTTGACAAGTTGGACTTGGATTTGGATTTCCCCCCATTTCATTATAACCTTCCAATTCTATATTTTTTGATTTTAATAAATCCCGAATTAAATATGATAATTTATCAGAAACTTGCCAATATTCTGTCATATAATCTAAACATTTTAATGTCATTCTTAAACCATGTTTTGCAACTTCTCTAAATCTATCATCTCCACTTAAAGCATTTATAATATGCATAGATGCTGCGGTAAGAAATGAATAAATTGTATAAATTCCAGATAATTTTAAACTACCATCTTTTAAACCACGATATAATACATGAGTAATATTATTTGCTGCCATAGTACAAATGGTTAATGAAGGAATTGAAGAAGGTGGAGCTTTTGATTTTGGTCCACGTATATGAGGTCGATGTAAAAGTATTTGTTGAGTATAATAAAGTAAATGAGCATATATTTTTCTATTTGTATTAACATCACCACCATGCATAGTTGAAGAATCAAATTGAAATTTTTTTGGTAAATTATCACGCCATTCATTTAATTCATTATCTAAAGAAACTAAAACTGATTCTATGTTATTTTGTGATGATGATGATTTAGATTTTATACCATAAACATGATTAAGTATACGACCAAGAATTAAATTACATTTAATTAATTCAACCCAACCTTCAATAGTTTCTATATCATCAGAAGGAATTTTTCCTGGTACAGGATAATTAACATCACAATCAGCTTCATTTATTGCTAAAGGTCTTCCTAAACCTGCACTAGAAAATCTATCAACTACAACACAAGCCCACCAAACTCTTCTTCTTACTTCACTTTGTCTTTCATCAATATTCCATTTAGCAGAATCACGATGTAAACCCATATCTTGAGCTATTCTTATAGCAAGACCAATATATACCCAAGTAATAGAATCTTTTTGACCACTAATTTGTACTGATAATAATAATAAAGCTTGAACTACAGAAATTGAAGGTTTATCAAATTCATCTCTTAATAATTCTCTTGCTTTTGTATAAAAACTACTTCCTGAATATTCTTCAGAATAATATTTTATAGCAGGATCATCAATATATCTTGTAGATAAAGCGAATATTGCATAAAATAAAATGATTGAAGAATAATGTGCTTCCAAATTATTATATTTTTCCATTAAATCTTCTTTATCAATGAAAGGCATAAAAGGATGTACTTGATTCCAATAAGCATCTAATAATTTATCACATAAATCTTTTGGAGGAAATTCAATAACCATATTTGGACCGATACGTTTTAAAGAAGGATTATTCCAATCATTACTTGGTACAGTAATAATTTGTCCATTAGCAATTTTTTTTGTAATTTTTAATAAAAAAACTCCTGAACTATTACCAAGATATTTAGTATGACCAGTTTCATCCATTGCAAGTTGACCCATACTATCATTTAAATCATATTGAGAACCAGTATATTCATTACTATCACTTGAAAGAGAATCATCTGAATCACTACTTTGACCATTATTTTTATATGAATTATGTGATACTAAACTTTTTGAAGAATTGGCTCTACCACTTCTTCCGAGTGATGAAGAATTAAAGGAAGGAGTTTTTCTTAATCTAGAACTAGTAGTATTATTTGATTCTTGACCGGATCTAAAATTACTTTCATTTACATTAATCCATTCAAGATTTGAAGAGATTGTGCCTTCTGGTAAATCCCCTGATTGAACCAAACCTCCAAGAATTGATTCCATTCTTTGAAGTCTAGTTTCTAAAGCTTCAATATAACCTTTTGGAGGACCACGTTTCTTTGGTGCATCAATAAAAGCACTAAAAGAGTAGAGAGAAAAAAAAAAAAAAAAAAAAAAACGATATGTTTTTCAAAAGATTTTAATAACTTGACTAAAAATAATACGTTCGAACTATTTATGTATTAGTTAATCGTAAAAAAAAAAAAAAAAATGAGAGTGCATTTTAAATAATGAAAATCGGTATCATGTTACACTTGTCAAAAGAAACTTTATTCTATTTGTATGTCCTAATGACGGAATCAAATTATCCGGTTGATCCAAGCCTTTTACCTATTTTTTGTATAACTGAACTAATCGCTTATATTATTAAAAGACAAAAGTTTATAAATTACATTATCAGTTATACAATAAATTATTATGCTAAGGTATTCTAACGTATTCATCATTTACTTTGTTTAAATATGATTTTATAAAATAATATGCAATAAAAGATGTAAATATGATAAGCGCGATGTAAAGTATGAAGTAGGAGAAGTAAGAGATATTCGGAGGAGGGGTCGGCTGGATCGGGGTCTGGGAGATAGGATATGTTTCAATTCTTGTATCAAATCCATAACCTTCTACTTCCAAAGTACCACTGGTATCAACAATAAGATAATTTCCTTCAACTGTTATATTTTTTGTTTCATATTTTTCCTTTCGAAGATAACATCTAAGTGCATTAATCTCAACATCGGTCATTGAAACAATTCTTCCATTCTCATCTAATCTGTCTGCTTTTCCATTAACTCTAATCTTTGCTTTAAATGGTACGCGAATACTAATCTTATCTATCGTGCTATTAACTTTTACCGAATTAAGGGGTGGTATGATTATTTTCTGATTAACATTATATGAAACCGTTTCTGATACAGTTTCCCTATATACTTTCTCATGTTTTGAAGAAAACGCAAATTTAATCCCACCAGTACCTTCTATAAACCCTGTGTTTATTCCCAAAGTTTGGAGAATATATATACCAAGATCAACCTTCACGTCAATATTTATTGTAAATTGAAATGAATCTGATTTTCTGATTTCCAAAGTAAAAATATTTGATTTTGTTTCAATTCTATCGATAGTTTGTTCTATTGTTGCATTTGCATAATTTTCAAAAACAAAATTACCGCTTAAAAGGTTAACGCGTGACTTATATTTATCCAAATTATCTTTTATATCTGGAGGATATGTAAAATCCATTACTGTTGCGGTTAAATTATAATTACTAGGTTCAAATAACCAATGTTGATAAGGATTTACTTTGGAATTATCTTCAGGACTACTGATATAAACTTCCTTACCATTGCCATCCAAATTCCGAGATNTTTTTTTTTTTTTAAAAAAAAAAAGAACCAATAAATGACTTTGTAACATATAGATATTATAGGAATTTCCGCCGAAATTACACCTTTTTAATCCAACATCTTGGCAATTTATAAATATATAACACAAGGCGTCAAATGTGCATTAAATAAGTGGCGCAAGGGAAAAAAAAGAAGGATTTGTACGTCATTGAGAGTTTGGGAAAGTCTAATTGAAAACAACTATCATTTCTATAATCTATTTTTATAATAATAAGGAGCACGTCAAAAACATGAACCTGGAATATTCGTATTTCTTTAAATAGCATTGGTCAGTGCAAAAAAAAGAAAGGGACCGGCTGATGCAAAAAAGTTATTTGTATCATGAAATGTGACTACGTTACTGGTAAATCAAAAAAAAATAGGTAATACGGTATTTATCTTCGCATATATTTACAAGATCAACTTTTTTCTATATACGCGTAAAATTTTACCTAAAAAAACCAAGATCATTTTTGTTTCGGAGTTATCAAAAAACCAATAACAATGAAGATTCATATAAAACATAGAAAAACCAACTTATGTACTTTGTAAATCATTATTTTTTAAAAGATAATTTTTTTTCATTTAGATTTTTTACAAGTTCTAGAGATGGAGAAAAAAGCATCAAATGAAGATCAAAATTTCAATTTTTTTTTAAAAAAACAAAATAAACAATTATTATTATATTTTTCTTTTTCCAAGAATTTATTATAAAATAAATAAATAAATATGTATGAAAAGATAACAAATACCCTCGTTTGAATACTTGATTATGCAGCTCAATGTATAAGAAATATTAAAATCTTGATTAGGGTTTGGATCTTCGTCTTCTTTAAATCGAATCAAATTCTTATCTCCCTATCTTCCATATCAAAAGAATATCAAATAGGAAAAAAAAAAATAAAAATAAATAAATAAAATAAGAATAAAATAAGATGAAAGGAAGAAAATGAAAAAAAAAAGCCTCTTTTTGAACGCCATACATGACACACATACACATACATGTAAATATGTAAATGAAGTTGAAGTAAAATAAACAAACAATACACAAGCAATCACGTTTATTTTTATCATGTAACTTAGATGTGTATAAGAGACAGGTAATTATTTGTCTTCTATATTTATATTGAAGCTTTTTATTTGTCAAGAAAAAAAATTTTTTTTTTTTTTTTTTTTTTTTTTTTTTCGTTTTTTATTTTTTTTTAAAAAAAAATTGCGAACAAAATTCTTTTTTTCTTTTCTTTGGTAATAAATGTGGAACGATTTTGTTGATCATTATAGAATTATTGATGGAATCGGATATTCCGATACGTTTCAGCTGTATAGCGTAATGTATTACGTAAAACATATGACAGACCTAATTGTTATTGTTACACACGCTGCGATCGATCGCGTAAAAACTAGTTTTTAATTATGGTTTGGTAAAAAAAAATATTTATAAAAAAAAAATGATCAAAAAAAAAAAAAAAATTCATGATAAAAAAAAATTGATAATTTGATAATTTGATAATAAAAAAAAAATTCGTAATAAATCTCTAAATATACGTCATTTACGTCATTTTCTTCTAATTTTGTTAAATCTTGATCCGAGATACAAGATGATCATTTGTGAAAAAAACGCGTTTCCATTCGCGTATATATTATAAGGGTTACTGCGCCACGATTACACATAAAAATCTAATGTAAATGTAAAATGAACTATTAAAGTGTATAAAAATCATAAGGAATTCTGGGAATTTCTTTTAGATACCGTTGATATCATTTTTTATAGAAAGTGTCACCGTTATTATCACAATGAAAAGGAGGTATTGCTCAATAACGGTAATCTTCCTGCTTTAGAATGTTATACATTCGGATCTCTAATCACAATATTATTCTTTAAGATTAACGCCCAAAAGTTATATATTTGTAACTTCATTTGTTAAAAAGATTAGATATCCTTCTAAGGGAAATATTGTTTTTATTTTCCTTTGTAACAATTCGTTTATGCCAAGATATGTAAGACATGTTATTATTTGAAAAATGTAGAGAACAAGAATTTGTGCATTTCATTATTTTATTTACAACAATATTTATTTTAAAAAAGGATTTTTATTATCGGAGTTGTAATAATTCCATATTTAATTAAGATAAGGGAGAGGGTCTTGTAATCAGCTGTAAATCAACTAGATGTAGGTTAGATAGGTTCCAAATATGTAAGACCTTCACGTAAATCAATCAAATCAATGTGAATGTGATCGTACGGTTAAGGTCTTTTCCGAAATAAATAATTTAATTTTGTGTGTGCGTAAAATTCAAAAATGTGCATGAACCAATTATGTTTGGATCTGGATCTGGCTTTAATTAAATTTGCATTTAAAAAAATTTAAACTGCGGTATAATGGCTTCTTAGATTCTATTGCTTTTTTGTTTTTTTTTTTAAAATGATTTTTATCATGATTACATATTTCTTTTACTAAAAATATTTAGACGCGTTTTTATTTCATTTGTTTTGATAACAATATTATTTTATTATTTTGTTGTTTTTAGATCAAAAGATATTTTAATTTATTTATTATTATTATTTTTTATTTTTTTTTTTTTTCGCCCTTTCGCCCTTTGCCTTTGTACCCTTTGCCTTTGTACCCTTTCACCCTTTTCGCCCTTTATCATATTATTGTAGCATAAAACCCCTAATTTAGATTATAAAACGCGCCCAATCTAACTTTATGAATTACACGAATAAAACGTGTTTGAAAGAAAATAAAAACAAGGTACTGGTTCACCAGATTCATTTGATTTTCATAAAATACATTTATATATTATTATATATAATATATATTATATATTTATATTATATATAAATATATATATGTATATCAACTTGTATAACGTATAACTAATAACTGATATAACTATAACTGGTATAATAAAAAAATTCATCACATATGTGAAGAAAAAGAAGTTAAATATTTAATTCTATCTTACAAAAAAAAAAAATTCACCTTTATTGGTTAATTAAATGAGAATCGATTCTATTCGTATAACGCGTTAGGGATTCTTTGTTTCCAAAATTCCCTTTTTTTAACTAATTTAAAATTTATTTTGTTTCATGTGAGAACCTTAATCGATAAATTTATTCATATTTTTAACAATTTTATTCATATTTACTCTTATTTACAGGTTTATTCATATTTTATACGCGTCAAATATGATAATGCACCAACCAAAAAATTTTAATTTCACGGTTGATTGACAGATTTAGGTTCTATTATTGCTTCTTATACGTTCACGTTCTTATAATAATTTCTAAATTTACGATTGATTATTCCGTTTATATTATTAAATATATATATTTATAATTAAATTAATTAAAACTGTTTAATATAATTTAAAAAAAATAGTTCGTTTCCCCCCAAACTTTGCGGGAATGGTGGATAGTGGATATAGAATAAAGAAAAATATTGCTAAATTTGGTTGATTTTGAGGTATATAATCGGTTTTTTAATTCAATTTTTGTATTATTAATCTATAAATTATTTCCTGCAACTTCCCCCTCATGTAATGCAAAGGCCCCAAGCTTTTTTTTTTTTTTATTTAATAATATTTTTTTTTTTTTTTCTCGAAGAGCAGGTGACGTAACATTTGATATTGACACGCAGAATTTCGGTGTAGTAACTCCGTTTTTTGTATAGAATATGGAAATTTTTTTTACAACGTTTCGGTTTTACAAAAATACATAATCAATTGTGTAATTATATTTTCTATAACTAGATTCTAGAATCCGTGGAAAAATATCCTTGTTCGGTCCTTATTTTACCTATTAATTTTCCATTTTATCCGAAATATTTTTTATCGGTATGTTTTTTTACCGAATTACGTCATTCTAAATTCTAGATTGTAAGATTTACCGTACAGTTTCAAAAAAAAAAACAATTGATCATTTCAACTTTAGAATCGTAAGAAAAAAAATTTCATCTTTTATTTCAAAATTCTTTTTTTTTTTTTAAAAAAAAAAAAAAAATCCTGATTTATTTGATCTAAATTTCATTAATAATAATTAAAAGAAACTTGAAAAAGACAAGAAACGCAGATTTGTACTATAAATTGTACACGTGGGGGAAGGATTTTTTCCTATTATTTTGTTAAAAAAGGTAACAAACAAATGATCTTATTTTGGCGGTGGTGATTTTCTTTTCTGATCCACGTTCGCAACTTAATTTTTTGATAAATTCCTCTTTCGGAAATTAATGATTTAACATAAAGGTTTTAAATGAACAAACAATTAAAAAGAGTATTTTCAAATGTTAATGTTAAATACGGGATTTACGGATAAAAATTATCATCGGGACGTTATAATCCCGGGCCTTAATTGTAATTCCGATATTCCCTTTGTTAACCATTCTTAAAAAGTATGGCAGATTCTTTTTAATTGTATACTTTTTTTTTTAAACAGTATCTTTTGGGACCCCATAAATTAAGAATACCATAGATACGTGTTATGGTTAATAAAAAAAAAAATAAGTTCGTAGACACTTTGTCCCGGAAGTAAATCACGTGCGAGAAATTTCGCACATGATTTTTTTCATAGTGCTTTGATTGATCACATGATATATATGACATTTTTTAACGACGTAAAATAAAAAAAAACATCACAAATCTCAACGATACGTTTTTTATGAAGCAATCCTCGATGTTGGAATTGGAAACAAAAAAAAAAAAAAATTTTGGACAATTGGAATTAGACCAATCAGATATATTCAATTGTATTTGGATTGTCCATTGTTTGGAAATTTGGGACAAAGTCCATTTTTTGTCCAATACCTTTTTGGCAGTGTTGTTACATGGGACAATTGGGACACTCTCAAGTTCAATTATATTTGGTTTGTCCATTATTTGAAATTTTGGGACAAAAGTCCATTTTGTCCAATACCTTTTTGGCAGTGTTGTACATGAGACAATTGGGACACTCTCAAGTTCAATTGTTATTTGGGTTCCCCATTATTTGAAATTTTGGGACAAAGTCACATTTTGTCCAATACCTTTTTGGCAGTGTTGTTACATGGGACAATTGGGACACTCTCAAGTTCAAAAATTGTTATTTGGATTGTCCATTATTAGAAATTTTGGGACAAAAGTTCATTTTTGTCCAATACCTTTTTGGCAGTATTGTACATGACACTGTTCCATCAAAATTTTAATGTCCTGGACTTGTCCCAGACTTGTCCTGTCCAATGTCCATCCAAGCATCAATATTAACGTTAGAGAGATGAAATAAATACCATTTGATTCATCTCATCTAATAAGATATATTCCATTAAATTTGAATCAATTATTATATTAAACATCCTGACTTTTTTAATGTCCCAATATCCCGAACGTTGCTAAAAATTCTTGGACATATGACATATCCCAGGCTTGTCGGATTGTCCTGTCCAATGTCCATCCATTAAATTTGAATCAATTATTATATTAAACATCCTGACTTTTTTAATGTCCCAATATCTCGAACGTTGCTAAAAAATTCTTGGACATGTCCCAGACGTATTCCGTCTCGTCCTGTCCACAGACATGTCACGTTCTAATGACAACACTGCCTTTTTGGATATTGTCCAATTGCCTATGTCCAAATGTAAATTTCCACTTACATTCCAACTAATATTTCTGATTTTCCCCATCTCTCTCTATAGATAAAAATGCTAAATGAAAACCTTCCATGGAAGGTACAGTACTTCATGATTGGTCATATAGTAGTGGCCTAACTACCCACCATCACTGCGAAGTCCGATCATAAATATACACCTATGTGATGGTAGCAGGCGTTCGACATAGCGATTCTACTTTGGTTGCAAAATATCACTGGGAAGTATGGTAACTTCGGGTGATCATACTGGTACGGCTATTCCTGCACTGATGTTTGTTGTCAAGCTAAAAACCCTCAAGATATTTTTAGGAATTACATTTTATTATACTAACAATACATACTGTAATTACTGTAATTAGTAGTTGATATGTACCTATCTGAATTGTAATAGCAAACAATAAGATTAATAATTAAAAGTGATTGTCTGATTGGAATTAAATATACATGTTACATTAATCAATAAAATTTGGAATTGAACTAAACAATGTTCATTAGTCCAATATTTCAAAGGCCATTACTGGAGGGCTCTAGAAAAATAAAATGATCGAAAAGATTAACAAAAAACATGACATCTTGAAAAGGAAAACTAATGCGGCTTTTATGAGAACAACACGTCCGAACCAATATACACATTTATATAACATTTCTGGGATCAAAGATGTGCATTATATGAAATCCTATTCGTCACAACGCAAACGGCACACCTTTGCATAACTCTGCACAACGCCAGCCAAAAAGACATGACGGTGATATTTAACCGCAACACGATGACAATTGAAATTAAAAACGAGTAAAAATTTTAACGAATTTAATAAATCATTAAGAACAATTTGACATTATATTAAAGTATTAAAAATTAAAAAAAGTTCCGAAATTATCTAAATAAATAATTCTTTTTTACAGTACATTTATATATATTTAAATAATTCTTCTTTATCATTCCTATTGTCCCTCCCTAAAGGATATCATCATTCAACACAAGTCCATAATTGTCTATTTGTCATTAAAGACCAAACACAAAGGTAATTATCTTCCCAATCAGCATTTCTATATTCTAATGCTTGTTCTAATTTAGCTTTAGGTCTTAAAATAACTAAAGCTTCAAGATATTTATCATCAGGCCAAATAACAAAAGCTAATTCTAATAATCTAACAAAACTATTTACTTCAAATTCTTTAATGTTTTTAAAAGGCCAATCTTTCCCATTTGATAAGGCGAAAGGTAATAAATAATCAACAGCTTTTTTAATGGTTTGACCTTTAGGACCAACATAATTCCATCCATCAAATCCAAAATATTGTGATCTTTCGGCTAAAAGAAATAATGCTTGTAAATTAAATGTTGAATAAAACCATGAAGTTGGACGCTTTGTTTCATGAGGTTGTTGTCCTGTAGGAAGAATTCCTTTGTTTACTCTATTTATTAATGCTTCGCGTGAATATTTACGTGCCTCCTCTTCTCTATCTAAATAAGATAATAGATAAACCGCTTGTACATCATAATATGTTCCATGATTGTTTTTTGAATACTTTTCATCTTTTCCTAAAGAAGTTGTTTCCAACCATTGATAATATTTTGATATCCAATCTTTTAATTCTTTCTCTACTGAAAAATCCCATTTATGCGATGAACGCATTAAAGGTATAGATTGTAACATTCTATAAATAGGATGCATATCCAATACACCAGTTCTTCTTCCTGATTTATGACCTTTAATAAAACTAGCATAATTAAGATTAGGATTCATCTTTGTCTTTGGATTTATAAACCATTCTTTGATTCTATAAACAGATTTCTCAACATATGAATCATTTCTTGTAAAATAATAAGCAAATCCTAAATTCTCAACATCTTTAAATAATTTTCTCAAAAGGGAATAATCTTTAACAGTTTCAATCTCAGGATTAACATAACCATCTCGTCCTATATAAGGTAACCCATTTTTTTTTTTTGGATTTGGCCAAAAATATCTTGCTAACGACATGAAATCATGTGGATCATTTGAAGGCGCAAGTTGAGGTTTTAAAGTTACTGAATAAACCGAATTATTTCTTAACGCATTATCCGCTTTATTGAGAAGTGTTGATAACATTTGATGATGTTGTTGTCGAAGAATAGAAAGATAATTTGCGTAATATCTACTATTTGTATACTCTTTAGGATTACCATTTACATCATAAACTGTTGATAATTTGTTTGAAGGTAAAGTTTTTTCAATAGGTTCATTTTTTATCTTCTTATTATTATCTGTTGATGTTATTTGTGGTTTTGGCGGCTCAACTATCTCAGGTTGTTGAATAACAGATGCCGGAAAGGAGACATCTAAACGTAAGTGTTTAGAATCTTCCGGCCAAAATGTCCATAAAAAAATAAAACATAAAGTTCCAAATATTGATAGAGTTAAAATTTTTTGTAGAATCATTAGAAAAAAATTATTTTTTTTTTAAAAAAAAATAATATAGATTATTATATACGTAAATATTTCTTTTTTTTTTTTTTATTATTCCCTTTAGTTTGTTATATATTATTTATATTTAACAACAAACAAAAGAAATATCCTTTTTTTAAGCGAAAAATTTGTCCCTTATTCTTTTTTTTTAAGAAACCTCGTAACCCGAAATTAATTTTGTACAACGGTAAATGAAACAAACACTATTTAAACGGGGATCATCAATAAAGTTTTGTATCAAATTTCTATATCAGTCAAGTCAAACTTCTATTTAAGTAATCGATAACCAGTGTAATTTATTCTTAGATCTTCCTTCAGTTATCAAAATTGGTAAATCATAGTATTTTCGCCATTCTCAGCCAATTTATATGAATTATTATCGGATATATTATTCTACAATGGGGTAAAGCAAAATGTAGCATTATATTATCGTATTTTCGAAAGTAGATGTTTGAACCAATCAATTCATGAGTGAAGCAAGGGAAGTTAGGCAGTAAAGGGAAAGAGAGAAGGTTAGAGAGAAAATTGGTAAAGAAAGAGATTAACATTAGAAATCTTTTTTGTCTATTAAACTGTCTTTAGTAAAGTAGATTATTAACCATTTTTATTATATTACATCTTTATTACTCTTGTTAATTGATTATCATACGTACAACATATATATCATATTTTAATATCATACGTTCTTATTAATTTTATTTGTAAACTAAAAAAAATATTATTAAGTATTAATCCAGTTAATTCAAATTCAACATTAACCCTGTTTTCTTGCCCCCCAAAAAAATCCGTAACGCCAAGACATTTATTACCTTTTTTTTCCTAAATTTGTAAAGAAAAGGAGCAAAAATGGGTTGGTAGTAAGATCACAAGAGAATAAAAAAAAAAAACTTTTATAATTATCCAAAAACAATAACCAAATTCATCTTCCCATCATTTATTAACAAAAAAAACTAATAAAGAACAGATCTATTAAAATCATTCTTTCTTATCCTTAAAAAGATTATTATTTTAAACAAGTCCATAATTGCCTATTTGTCATTAAAGACCAAATACAAAGGTAATTGTCTTCCCATTCAGTATCTTTATATTCTAATGCTTGTTCTAATTTAGCTTTAGGTCTTAAAATAACTAAAGCTTCAAGATATTTATCATCAGGCCAAATAACAAAAGCTAATTCTAATAATTTAACAAAATTATTCATTTCAAATCCATTAATATTTTTAAAAGGCCAACCTTTCCCATTTGATAAGGCAAAAGATAATAAATAATCAACAGCTTTTCTAATGGATTGACCTTCAGGTCCAACATAATTCCATCCATCAAATCCAAAATATTGTGATCTTTCGGCTAAAAGAAATAATGCTTGTAAATTAAATGTTGAATAATACCATGAAGTTGGGCGTTTTGTTTCATGAGGTTGTTGTCCTGTAGGAAGAATTCCTTCATTTACCCTATTTATTAGTGCTTCATATGAATATTTACGTGCCTCCTCTTCTCTGCCTAGATAAGATAATAGATAAATCGCTTGTACATCATAATATGTCCCATGATTATTTGTTGACTCCTTTTCATCTATTCCTATAGAAGTTTTTTCTAACCAAAAATAATATTTTGATAACCAAATTTTAAATTTTTTCTCTACCGAATGATCCCATTTACGAGATGAACGCATTAAAGGTATAGACTGTAACATCCTATAAATAGGTCGCATATCTATTATACCAGTTCTTCTTCCTAAATCTTGACCTTTAATAAAACTTGCATAATTAAGATTAGGATTCATCCTTGTTTTTGGATTTATAAACCATTCTTTAATTCTATAAACAGCTTTCTCAACGTATGAATCATTTCTTGTAAAATAATAAGCAAATCCTAAATTTTCAACATCATCAAATAATTTTCTTAATAAAGAATAGTCTTTAATAGTTTCAATCTCAGGGTTAGAATAACCATCTTTTCTCATATAAGGTAATCCATCCGGTTTATTTGGGTCTGGCCAAAAATATCTTGCCAGTGACATGTAATCATGTGGATCATTTGAAGGTGCAAGTTGAGGTTTTAAAGTTACTGAATAAACTGAATCATTTTTTAATGCTTTATTTGCTTTATTGATAAGATTTGATAACATATTATAATGTTGTTGACGGAAAGTATCAAGATAGTTTGCATAAAACTTATCATTTATATTAGATATATGTAAATGATCATCCTTAACTCCGGGAGCAAATGTCCACATAAAAATAGAGTATATAGTTCCAAATATGATCAAAACTAATATTTTTTGATTATTTAATCCCATCACGATTATTAAAAAGAAGAAGAAGAAGAAAGATATAAGAAAAAAAAAAAAGTCTTATTTACAATTATATGAAAAAGGATCCTTTCTCTGAAACAAGAAAAACCGGCCCTATCTCCATTTAAATATGGCTAAAAAATGAAAATAACCAAAATAATATTCTGTATGGTAGATCAATCATTCAGTAAATGAAAAAAAAAAAATCCACGTAATTTACCAATAAAGATAAAATATAATTCCCATAATAATACCTTTTTGAAAAGTGCCGAAATTTTAGCGAAAATTTTGGATTTCTCGAAACTTTTAAAAAGTTAATGATATCATCAATTGTTTGAATATTATTAATCTAATTTTTTTTTTTAAAAACTTTAACTTTGAATGTAATGGATGTACTAAAGATATGCATGATAATCGATCATTATCAAAACTCAAAAACTAATATACAGTATATTTATTATTATTATTAACCAAACAAAAAGATCGTGAGAGCATGGGGATGAATCTAAAGATCCGCAAATATTTATTCTATTTTAAAATAAAACATGGGGAGCAAAAGTTTAAGAGAAGATAATCAGCCAATTAACGTCAGATTTTCATTTATTTGTAATTACATGAATCACTATGAACACTTTGAAGTACAAGAATTACATGAAGTGCATAGGTTTCATATTAAAATGTTATGTCTTTTTTCTTTTAATACAGTAATAAATATGGAAATATTTCAAAGAATGTTTATTATTACGAACCTACGATGCATTTTGAAAAAATTATTGTTTTTATTATTTTATATTAATAACATTTTTTACCAAGCCGAAAGAGGAAAAGCATATGGAATTTCTTTGATTTTAAATTCTAAAAATACAATTCACATGCTAATTATATGACGACATCAAAAATATTATTTTACATAATTTTTGTAAAATTTCTTAAGAATAAAATAATATGTGACGTTAATCTTGGCGGCCAAAGTTTCAAATTACAAAAAATTACAAAGCCAAGTAAAAGGTATAAGTTTCTTTAAATAGAGTTCTTGGTTTCTTGGCGTATCAACCAAACGTGAATTTATAATTATTATATATTCAGTTATGGGTATTCTGGAAAATACTGAAGATACTGTAATTTTTCTTGGCAAAGACTATTGATTTGCTAAAAGCTGTGAACGTGATCTCGTGCCAAGAAAAATTAAACATATATTCCATATTTAATCACTTGCATTAATTTTCTATTTATAATTAGAAACTCTCAACAATCCTTGGTCTTTTTCTTATTAAAGAAAATAAAACGTTTGCTATTTTTTTAAACTTATCCGTATTTGTCTTGGACTTTCCTATTTATAAGAACTACATCAAATTGAGGAAAAAAAAAAAATATCCTTTTGAGTCAAATAAATTTTTTTATCGAATTCAGTTTTTTCTCTGAGAGGAAAATAGATTTCAAGTTTAAATCGTTTAAAAATATATTATTTATTACCTACCAACAAGAATAACTTCTTAATTATTGTAAATATAAAGTTTTTTTTAAGAATGTCTTTATTAACACCACCACCTTCTGTCAAAAGTGAAGAATTAGTTTGTCTTTGGAATCAATGTTTTCGTACTTTTGAAGATCCAGAATTACTTTATGGTCATTTAGCTCATGATCATGTTGGCCGTAAATCTACTGGAAATTTATGCCTTAGTTGTCATTGGGATAAATGTGAAGTGGTAACTACCAAAAGAGATCATATCACTAGTCATTTAAGAGTTCATGTTCCACTTAAACCACATGTTTGCGAAAGTTGTAAGAAAGCTTTTAAACGTCCTCAAGATTTAAAGAAACATGAAAAAATTCATACGGATCAACATCAACAACAAATTATAATGGGAAGAATGAATAAGAAAAATCTTCACCCTCCTACTCCTCCTCATTGTTCTTCTTCCTCTGAACATTCTCCCTCAATATCTTCTGCTTCTTCTCCTCATCATATTCCTCTTTCTCCTGGTAACAGCGTTATCTCCGACTTAACTAATGATTATTTACCATCAAACTTTGATTTTTCTCAAATCTCTAATGCTGAAATATGCAATTATACAAGCCCTACTTATCTAATTGATTCTACAACTAGTCTAAATTATAATAATCGTACTAGTAATAAACGTAGCGTTGATATGTTTGATGGTTTCGTTCAAGATGTCAAAAGAAAACGTATTGACCCTCAATATAATGAAAGTAAGATATTTGTAATTTTTAAATTAAAAAAGAATTTTACTTTAATAAATTATTAACAAATTTCTTTAATTAATTTAGTCTTGTTTAGAAAATTAGAGGATTTATCTAAAGTTATTGATCAAGATGGATTGGATTTTGATTCACTCCCATCTCTTAACACAAAAGAAGATTTTAATCAAATTAATGATTTTCTTGCTTGTACAATGAGAGAAATTAATAATGATAACATATTGAATGAAAATGGATTTAATCTTTTGGATTCATTCGACTCAAATTCTCAATTAATGTCACTTCCTCTTGATACTTTTTCAACTGCTGATGCGAGCGCATATTTAAATTTAGATGATAGTAATAGTGTCGATACAAATGTTTTATATCCTGTTGTAACTTCAAGCGCTTATCCATCTGTTTTATCAGATATCCCTACAACTACTTCAGCTCTTTATAATTCCAATGATTTTCCATCTCCACCTGAAGAAGCTAGCAATTGGACTACAAATGATTTATTCATCTATGATGTACCTGAAGTAGCTAATCCAACTACACCTTCCACTTCCACTGCTACTACCACTACACCTACTTTACCTTCTCAAGCGTTCTCCGCTTCACAATATTTTGATTATGAAGTTCCTCTTACTTTATCTCATACTAATGAATATATCGATGTGACTCCACCGTTGATTCCTTGCAAAAAACTTGATAATCCTCAATGTAATGCTCCAACTACTGGTCTATCATTGACTAAAGAAATTTCCGAAGCAACAACGTTGAGAGATAAAGTTAAGAACGAATCACAAGAGGAAGATACAAGTTATGTAATACCTAAGGATAAAGGGTCAAATGTACAATCATCTAAAATTACAACACAAATATTTTCAAAAGTTACTCAAAAGAAACAAGTAGAGGTTGTAGAGCCGGTAAAAGTTAAACAAGAAAAATCTGATGATATGATGGATTTATTATCAAAGAATTTATTTAATATGGATTTGAACGAAGATAAGAAGATCAAATCTGACAATGTAAGAGCTAAACATGCTGCTCTCATTGCTACTTTGAGTAAAAAAATTGACCAACTTTCCAAGAGATATGAACAAGAAAATGATAATGTTAAAGTAAAAATAGAAATTTAATTAATTATTCAAGGATAAAAAAAACTCATGTCCTTTGTCAAGTTGGTTATTTGTTAGAGCATATATTAGTTTCTTGTCTATAGATAGATTAGCGACTACATCATATTTCAATTTTTTGATCTTATTTATCGGAGTGGACTTTTTATTATTTACTGTATTAAAAAAATTAAACAATGAAAACAAAAAATAAACCAAATAAAAAGTAATTCGTGTTGGGATATGTTAGGAAAATTATTACCATTTTATGAACTTTTTATATTTTCTCTTTTTATATTTTCTCTTATATATTTTCCCTTTATAAAATTCCGAATTGAATAAGATTATATAATTTTTTATGATTTATAATTTATGATATATTTATAACCCTTTATTTGTATGATAATATTTACATATTTTTTTTATAGTTAAATTTTCATTTCTTATGATATGGATATTTTACAAATAATAAATAAAAATCGATTGAAAAAAAAAAATATTGTGCATCCGAGAATGTATTTTATTATTTAATGTTGAAAACATCTGCAATTATAATAAATACATACAGGTTTACAACAGTTAAATCGGTTACATCTCAATTGTTTATGAAAAAAAAACGAACACTAAAACAGCTATTCATCATTTTGTTCCATTTGATCATCGTCATCATCTTGGTCCATTTGATCATAATCAACTTCCAACTTTTGGGACCTTGTATTTTTTTTTGTTGTTTGATTATTTGATCTTTTAGGTCTTGATCCACTATCAATACTATCGCAATCACCAATTACATTAGAAGAATCCCAAACTATTTCACAATTTGGACATTTTTTATTATTTTTTGAATCAAAATATCTACGAGCACAATGATGATGAAAACGTGCTTTACATTGTGCCATTTCACATCGTTGTCCCTAACATATCATTTTAAAATTAAATATGTATTATACATATACCTATTAAAATAATTTATCAATCTTACCTTTGTAACAATATCATAACACAGAATGCACTCTGAAAGATAATCTTCAAATTCCTTTTTAAGGTAATATTGTAATTCTAGAATAGATCTTAAACTCAATGAATATCTTCCTCCCCTGTAATATAGAAATTTATTTTAATTTAAGTGAAACGTTTTATGTAATTTTGAATTGATAATTACCGTGATCTACTCAACCATTTGTCATCGACAAATCGTTGTAATAATATTTCTCCATTACTTTTTGATATAGAAGTTTTTAGTTTCACGACTTCTTTTAATGCAGTAATTGAAGACACTGAAAACGACTCATCATCTGCCGTAACAATAAGTTCTATCTTTTATGTGATAATAATTATGAAAATGGGATCTAAAGAGTTTTTAATTATGAAAAATAATTTTTTACCAAACGTCTGAAAAATGATATTTCTATGGGTGTATATTCAGTGGCCATTTTAGCAATTTCATCTCCATTCGTGTTAACCTATTAAAATGGGAGAGAAAAAGAAATACAAATTATTTTTTAAGCCGTTTATAGGAAAAACTTTTAATATAAATTACCAGTGCCCAAACGGCACTTCCATCTTCTTCGTTATGACTTTTTCGAAACTCTAAATCTATAGAATTTAGCTTCGCATTAAGCGTCGTCATAAATTCTGTAAAAGTCTCTTGATCTTGAACTAAACAATATTTTTTTGGATAGAAATGAACATTTAAAATAAAAATATTTGAATTAAATATTTAATTAAATACCAGCTGTTGCTTCATATGCCTTACGATATATTTCAATGGCCGTTTCTTCAGTGAAAAACCTTTCAGAAAGAGAAGCTTGTAAAAATAATCTATGAGCATCTGTATATTCGTTAATAAGCATATTTTATTAAGCTAGCAAAAAAAATGAGTGAAAGAAGGTGGTGGTGTTGTGCGCGACCATACATTCGCGAAACAATGCTGATGCGTGACAATATCATGTGTTTCGGTTCGATTGTATATTATGAAATTCTTTCCTTTTATAAAGAGAGATCTACAAAATTTCTGATCGACACTTTAATGGCCCGGTCTAATTAATAAAATTTCCGAGTTAGCACAAAATTTCCATTCACTTGGAACGCACATTAAAAAAAAATTTTATAACCCCTGAATCTGATCAGATTTGTTTTTGACTTTTTTTTTTTTGAGAATTTTTTTTTTTTTTTTNAATTTTTTTTTTTTTTTTTATAAGTAAATTTTTTTACATGTTCGTTCTACATAAAGAAACAAAGGAGAATAGAAAAAGGAAAAAGGAAGAAAGGAGCAATAGTAAAAGGAATAAAGAAATCAACTATATAATACACTAAGTTGATCAAGAAATGAAAAGGTGGGTAAAGCGAACAATCAAAAAAAAAAAATAATATTTAATTTTTAAAATAAAATGAAATCAATAATATATATACGGATCTGTTGTAAATTTAACAAGACGGGATAAGGTGGAATAAACCTAGAGGAAAAAACATGAGAAAACAAATACAATCGTTTCTCTTTTTAGGGATAGAATTTTGTATGGAATTTTTTTTTTTTTGTTTTGTTTTTTTTTTTTAAAAAAAAATTTCCTATATAAAGTCCAATGTTCGTAAAAATATATATTGCGAAATCCTCGTTATAATAATATATATACATACATATACACACACACCCCATATATGAACACGCACACAATACGTTCCAAATTTCTCTTAGTTTTTTCCGTGACAAAGACAGAGTTAAAAAATGGTAATAATATTGAAGATAACGTCCACCAACCAGCCAAGTATATGTGGTTTTAAGCATCAGAATCACCTCCGTTTGCATTTGCACTCAAACGACGTTCTTTCTCATTTTCTAACTGATTATATAATAAGAAAAGGGCTTTTTCATTGGCTTCGGGAGATCCTTGGATTGTAAACATTCGCTCACCAGTTTCATCATGAGGCGTCTTTGCAATGCTGATACGAGAACCAGAGAGTCTGCGAATTTCGGAAATTTTGGAACCAGCTTTGCCAATAATACACCCAACCATATCAGCAGGAATAGAAATATTTTGAGTTCGAATGGTGTTACTATCATAATTGTTATTACTGTTGGATTGACGACGATTATTATTATGATAATCATTGCGTTGGCGAATGAAATCGGTCCCATTGCCAGTACGGGTAGTATAATCATTACGACGAGAGGTAGAATAACTTGAAGTTACTTTAATGGCAGGATTATATAGGACCGTCCCGATACCACGTTCGTTATCTTCAATAAGACACTTGCCAATTTCCCATACCGCGACACGGATGGCCTCGACAGTTCCTTGAACTTCCACAATTCTTTCCGTGCTTTGAGGAAGCATTTCCTTTGAAGCAACCATCCTAGCTCCAGAGACATCTTGAATATGTTTAATTTTACCACCTTGACGACCGATAATAGTTCCCATCAAATTATGGGAAATAAGCAAACGAACAGAAGTAAATGCATTAGGTGGAGGAGTAATTGGAGTTGAATTAGGGCTTGCATTCACTGGATTCTCGAGGAGGGTTTGTGCGATCAAAGAATACGCCTACGATAAAAAATTAAATTATAAATAGATCAACGTAATGAACTAAATTTAATAAAAATCTAATAGTTTCAAAAATAAATATCGTCTATAATGTTTTTTAACATGTTTTTAAGAATTGAAAATTTTTACCTTAGCTACACCATCAAGGGTACCTGCGACAGACAAAACTCTGTCGTGAACACCTTGAACAACTTTAGATACACCGGCTTTAACACCAGTACTCTCTCTCAATTCGGCGACATTTTTACCAGCTTTGCCAATAATAACTCCAGCTTCTTTTGTAGAAACCAATGCCCTAAGGGTAAGTTGAGAATTTGATATATCTCCAGCCTCGTCCTCATTAGTACACTCTTTATTATCTTCTTCAACACTGCTAATCTCGGTAGTAGCAGTTTGATCGGTTGAAGCAACAAAAGGGGTGTCAAAAAGCGAATGAGCTGTGGGGGCAGGAGAGGAGGAGGTGGAGGAGGTAGTACCGTTATTTGTGGCTGCGACCGCAGGAACATTAGTTCCATTAATTTCGGCTGGGTCTTGAATACCTGTACGAGTGTCGTTTGCCATTTTTTACACGTCAAGTTTGTTGGTAGTCTACATAATTCGTAATTTCGGTATATCAAATTGTTATAAATATACGTTAATTATTAACCGTGTTTAATAACTAACTTCTTATTATAAATTTTGTTTTAGTTACCTTAAACTTCCTAACCTAAGAAAAATAACGGAAATAACCCGTTTTCCGTTTTGAAGGAAAAAAAGTCGTTAGTAACAAGGAATAAGGTAAGGTTCTCTAGTTATTATTTTCGGCTTCTTGAGTTTATCAAAGATAAACCCGAGTGAGGAACAAGAGAGCGTTCCGATGTAAGGTAGGTCAAGTCACAGGAATAATAAAGGAATAAAAAGGTGGGGAAAAGATCGAGGTATCGAGGTATATGTAAAAAAAATTTTTTTTAAATTTTTTTTTTTTTTTTTTTTTTAATAATATAGGTGAGGATGGTAGGGGAGTTGATGGGTTGCGTGTTATGAGAGGGAAAAGGGTGGTATTATTTTTTTTTTTTCAATGTTCGTTAAATTTGTTTTTTCTTTTGGGGAAGGATTAATGTCCCCTGTGCCGCGAACAGAGCACAAACCTGATTATTTGATGACGTGCTTTCTCTGTAGTCCTGTGGATCCTGCTTGCCGAACAAAGAAGATCCAAGCCCAAAATCAAAAATGGGAGTAATTTCTGCCATTCAGTAGATCAGAAATGGTATTTCACCTGTGATAAGTCGCATATCTATAAATCAAACAATGCACATTAGCTGCGGGTTTTTTTTAGTTCGGTAATGAGACCAAAAACAAATAATTCACGAGATTTTTCTATTATAAAATATAAAAAAAAATATTTGGTAATGTCAAGATGTATGTATCTTGTTAACCTTTTTTATATAACTAGATTTTAGTTTAATTTAGTGTAAATAAAAAAAAATTATAGATATTTATGATATTATTGATCAATGTTATTTAATATCTAAAATATCTAATAGGATCAATAGGATCATATATATATATATATATTATATATTAAGAATAATGAATTTTATTGTATAAATTATTAATTACAAAACCGTATAATTGTTGTATTAATTAATATCAATAAAACATAAAAAAATGAGCAAGATTATGATCACTAATCACTAGGTATCAAAACTACCTCGATTTTGTGTTAATATAGCAGCTTATTTAAAATTTGAACTTTTTTAGTAAAATAATATAACATCAAATTATACATATAATTAATTCACTTGCTCGAATTTCGGATAAATATCAGACATCTTTCAAATCCTTGATGATCTCTGATAGCTTTTATACATTCCCATCCAGTGAAAATTTTTTTAACTTTTTCCGCCATTTTATTTCCTACTTCCAAAATAATTAAAGAATCCTCTTTCAAAATATCAAGCTTTTTTATGTATGAATGTTCTAAAGATTCATATAACAGACGGTAAAATTTATAACCACTTTCTTCGGCAAAAAGTGCTTCAGGTGGTTCAAAATTACGTACATCATCATTTGGAAGTGATCGAGCAATATCCAGATATGGTGGATTGCATACAAGTATATCAAAATGTTTGTTATGGACTAATCCATAATTGTGTAGACTTGTGAAATCACCTTTTTGAAAATCATAATTATTGTTGTCGGAAACAAAGAGTTTCAAGTGTCGTTCTGCATTTTTACGAGCAATCTCTAAAGCAGAAGAATTTATATCTAATCCTAATCCAAAAACATGAGGTGAAATTGTCTGAACCTTCTGAGATAAAATACAATGTAATACAGAAATAAGAATACATCCCGATCCTGTTCCACAATCTAATATTGAAAACATATTATCATCATCATTTCCCCGATCTTTCCAGAATCCAGAATCTAATTTATTCAAATATAAGTCTATGATTTCTCGTACCAGATATTCTGTTGATGGTCTAGGAACCATTGTATCTTTACTAACAAAAAATCTTAATTTAAAAAATTCCTAATTATTATAAATTTGTTATAAATAAATATATTGAAACATAATTCGGATAAGTCAAATGAACTTTTAGTTGAATACCTTTTCTCCAGTAATATACGCTGTTGGTATAATTTCTGAATCTAATTGATCAGTTATTTCAATTCCATATCGTTGCAATTCTTTAATAGTTTCATTTTTCTTTTGCTCAAAAAACTTTAGCTCGCGTTGCCGTACTTTCTGATTAAAAATCATTCAATCATTTAATATTTATAAATGCATTAATTGAAATTCCAAATTCCGCAAACTATTTTTCTACCTCAAATTTTTTCGGTTCATTGATAGTTACTTTGATTTCTTCACTTGTTATAGGATGACTAAAAGTGACTTCTAATAAAGCCATCATTAAACTTTTATCTTTGCACGACTTCAATTCTTTTGAACGGGAATTGGAACCAACGATAGGATGATGTACTTGAATAAAATATTCTTGAATACCAGCACTTGAAATTGCAGATGAATTATTTAAAATAATATCCAATGTTGTGATATACTTTTCTTTACCGGATGTACTACGAGTGAAAGTGACATTTTGTAATGCGAAAGGTGGTGTGTGATTATGAAAAAAAGTTTCATCATCCAAAGGAAATTTACCATGACAAAGTACCCGATAACTTTGTCGAATAGAACCACTTTTAAGTAAGGTCATAAGTTTAGTTTTTATCTCACGAGTTTTGGAAACAATGATCTTCAAATATAAAGTTTAAAGATAAATTAAGACATTGTTAATCAATATATTTGATTATAAAAACTTACCAAACCATTAACTGCTCTTTGTGTTTGATTAATGCAAGTGTATTCCTTTCCTTCTTTGACAAGACCACTTCCTCCATCCAGTACGAATGACAAAGCTTCTTGCAAGTTTCTAATAGATACACCTGCATTCTTACAGATAACAGCTAAATATTCATCTTCCAAAATTATTGCAACAGGCATTTCTAACTTATCCTTCTTCAAAGCAAGTTTGTCAATCTGTAAATCTATTATATCTCCTTCATGGAGTAAACGTGAACTTTCAGCGGGCTTTCCATTAACGAAGATCTCGCCTCGTTTAAAGCAGTCTCTACAGAGTTTCTTAGAAATAATTACAGATCTAAAATTTTGACAGACAAACTTTTCTAGACGCGTACCAGATTCGTTTTGATCAACTATACGTGTCAAATTACATAATTCGGTCACTGAATCGAGTTGCATTTTATATATTAACCGTTTTACCGCATATATTAACGTTCTTGATCCAATTTGCGCGTTGATCAAATTTCATGTGATATCTAATAAGTACAGGCACAGATAAATGTAACACCCGATGGTCAAAGAACTCTCTGATCAGAACGAAATGCAAAGACAAGATTTCTTCTATACGGTTCCACAAACATTATGCATGTATCTGCATTTTTATCAGTGCAATGATGTATTGCTTGTAACTTAAATTTTTGATATATTTCTTTAATGTATATTTTCAATTGTGTAATATTTCCTGGTTTTTTTTTTATATTAATAAAAGTTTCATTTTGAAGTCATTATCTTTACTTAATACATAAATTTTAGGAACATGATTTTAATATTTCAATAATATAAAAATCTGATAACTTTATTCTGCAATCTGTTAAGACTAATCTATTATATTTTAATTAAATTCTTTCAAAGTTGTAATTTTGACTGTTAACTAAAATTCTTTAAGAAATCAGAGTTGCTGTTGGTAAAATTTATAATTCCTTTAGTTTAAAAAGTGAATATTTTGAGATAATAGTTGTAAATTTCAAAAGTATTATTAAGTTTATTTTGTATTATAAAATATTTTAAAATCTCAGAATTTCAAAAGTTAATTAGTGTTAAGAAAGAAAGAATTGTATTTAAGAATTATAAATACAAAAATTTGAATTTGAACACTTAACAATTTATCAGATCTGAATTTTAATAATGAATAATAATAATAAAATGATAAATTAATCCATTCTTTTTGAATTTTAGGAAAAACTACATTCATATATAGGCTGATCAGGTTATATGTCATTGTTTCATTGTAATAACTAGGGGAAATGGTCAGATTGTTGATTCAGTGTTGTGAATTTGAAAGCGAGAAAAACAAAGTAGATCCCAATTCATCTAAATAATTGTAATATACAGTAGTTAGTAACTTGACTCTTGAGGAAACAACAAACCTATGATCTCATATCAGCAGATCGAGACCTCGTGGTACTAACTTGAAATCATATTATACGATCAACTAACATTATACTCTATTTTTCTGTCAAAAATATATAGGCTTTATGTTTTAACGAAATCTCTCACGTATAAACAAATGTAACAAATATTCAAATTTAAAATTCGGGGACGAATATACTTTTTCGCGTCAGTTTCTTAAATTGGCGCATATCTCACATGATTATTTATAATAAACCCAAATTTATAAGTAAACAAGTTTTTTTTTTTTTAATGAAAGTTTGAAAGGGCACTAACATTTTTTTTACTTTATTGTATTTGTAACGAAAGTTTTGTCATTATGAATACAGGTTTTAACCAGCATAAATAACATAATAGTTTGGCATCTTGCATTATGCCATTGTTCTAGATTTATATAATCCATTTTTCTATTCATATTGTATTTTTCATCCATTCAGAATATGGCGTTTGGCCTGATAATCCAGCCAATTCTAATTTTATCACTAATTTTTTGTAGGTCAAGATTTTCCAGGCTTTTTTTTTTATTCTGTTGTCATTAAAAAAAAAAGAATGATTTGTTATGACGTAAAACTACGTACATTGCACCACAATATAACTAATGTGGCTTGCAGAACTGTAAAGTTACACTTTTCCGAACTTTATATACGACATCTTTCGTTTAGCCAATCAATGATCGTAATTGTCGTCCGATTTACGAAGAGATTTAATCATAATATTAAAATAATTAAAAAGTCATCTTTTTTTTTTATTTACAACCTGTTCATATTGTAAGAGATATTTTGAAGGAGAAAAAAAAATAATCTTAACTGTTATACAAAATAATAATAATATAATAATAAAACTAATTTCCCATGAGGAAAAACAAAGAAATTATTTTTCTTAAGGGACACACATATATATATAGAAGGGCTGCATAAAAGTAATGGAATAATAAAGTTTATGATATAAAAGTAACCAGAAAAAAGAACTTAAATCTGCAATAAATGCTTATTTTTTCTTCAATATTTGGTGTAAAAGGTGAGGGCGCGGATATGTTAATAAAGAAACTTGGATTTTATATAAAATGTCATATATTCAATAATACAATAACATCGTAATGCGCCCCCTTCATTAATACAAATCATTCAACAAAAATTCTCCGATATTATATAATTTCGGAACAAATAATATTATTCCCGGCACAACCAATATAGAAATATGAATATAATTAAACAAAAAGAAGAAAAAAATGTAATGTAAATTATATCCGCTTAAAGCATAATTATAGGTCTCCCTATACATGAAGAAATGACCCAAAAATAATGTATCTATAAAATCATAACTTATGTGTAAGGTAGGGAAATTAACAATTACACCCTCCATTTGTACCACCAGCAATTGGTCCGTTCCCCCTTGGTAAGCCGGGAAGCGGGCTTGGCCCTCCGTTAACAATTTGACGTGGGCGAGGGGACATCATGAGTTCAAGCGGAATTTTCTTTGCTGTGAGAAATTATTTTTAAGTAAATGGTTTGCTTTTTCTTCTCATATATATAATATTATTAAATTTTGATTAAATCATTCATACCAATCTCGGTGAAAACGTCCCTAACACCATCCCCTTTCTTTGCACTGGTTTCAAAAAATAGCAGGCCGAATTCATTAGCATAGGCTTTAGCTTCCTCAGTAGGAACTTGTCTTCCGCTTTCCGTAGACTCATCTTCACTCTCTTCAATAGGTTGGACAAGATCTATTTTATTACCTGCGAGTGCAATGACAATATTAGGGTTCGCTTGACGCTGAAGCTCTTTCACCCAAGATTTAGCTTTGTCAAGCGATGCCTAATTGTAGCCATCCACCAATTCCATTTATAAATTATTTTTAATATGTGATCAGATCACTTTTATTATATTTTTGATATAATAAATTCATAAGGTAAATCTGCATATATTACTGTATAAAAACTTACAGCTTTTGTGACATCATAAACAACAACAGCTGCCTGAGCATTTCGATAATACATTGGAGCTAAAGAATGAAATCTTTCTTGACCGGCTGTATCCCAAATCTCAAACTTAATTACTTTGTCTTCCAAACGGCATTTTTGCGTTAAAAAGGCAGCTAAATAATTATATAAATTTGGTATTATATAAATTAAAAAATAACGAAGACAAAAAAAATAATGCTATTTTATATATTTAAAAAATGAGAATTTATTTTTTAAATATACATTTTATGGGATCAACAAATGTTTCACTTACCACCAATAGTTGGTTCTTTATTTTCTTGAAATTCGTTATTGACAAACCTGAGTACTAAGCTAGATTTACCCACTGCAGCTTCACCTATATAAAGTACAAGATATAAAGAAAGCCTGTTAATTTCAGCTCTTTGGCTCAGGTTACGTGATGAGGACAGTTTGGATAAATATTAACAAGTTTCACACGATGGTAAAAAAAAACCCACCAAGAAGGACTAGTTTAACTTGAACAGGTTTTAGGTTTGGCTGTTGGTTGGTACCTTCCCCACCAGCACGAGCGGGTGATTCAGAAGACAAAGTGCTCTGACGTGAAGTATTTGACATATTCAATAATTATGTGCTGGTATTTGTCTTCTTTTTGTTTGTAATTGAAATATATTCAAAAGTTTGTTGGCTTGAGCCGAGAAAAGAAAAAAAAAGATGGAAAATAATGATACAATGCAAGAACCGAAAAAAAAGTTTGAGGTTGAATATTAAAATGATTTCACTCTGCTTACTCAATAAACTATAGAGAAAATCGGCAAGTATCACATCACAACGCCCGATAGTGATTATAAAATGTACCCCTGATTAGGTCTGATAAACAAAGCGAAAAATTACAGGGGTTAAAATTGTAATAATGCCAAAATTTTCTATTTATTCTATTTATTATATAGGAAATCCAAAAGTATAAATTCTAGTATATTTTTTTTTTGTTCAGGATTGTGTACAGTTTTGACATTATAAGCGTTTTCAAATTAAAGATCTATTACGCTTAGATATTTGCCTGATCCTAAACAGTAACGGAGAATTTGTTATCAACAATGGATATCTCAATAATTTCTCAATTTTTGTTCTGGAAATGACTATCTCTTTATTTAATGCCACCAAATACTCACAAAGACTTGAAACAATCCATCTATACATTTCTCTCTTTGAATAACTGATAAAAGGCAAAGGTCAAGGTCCTTTCCTCTTGTTCACCAATGTTCTGAGAACCCTTATCCCAGTTTATCGACAAGAAGGGAAGCAATGACGGACAACAATTAAATAATTAAAAATAAAATTCATAAAAAAGATTTGGAAAAGTAATATTTATCAATAACTCAGCCCGCCATTAAAGTTTATTATTCTCAGCATTGTTTTGATCTAGAAAATGTCTTTCTACAGAAAATACTATTTCATTACATTAAAGTACAAGTTATTTTCATTGTGCCCAATAACATGCTCATGCGTTCAATTACACTGCGCAAAGAGTACCCTACGTGATATTCGGATTCACCATTGTAACATTAATTGCACCTTCAAAAATAATCCCTCACGTTACAAACGCATTGATCAGTGTTGAACTTTAAACCTTAGATCGAAGCGCAGAGTCGCTGCAATGTAGGTGTCGATACTGACGCTCTTTCCACTCAGAGGCGGGAAACGCAAGCCATATATCTAAACATTTGCTTCAATACAACACTCTACCATGATTGTTTATGCTATTAATAACCGTTGACGGCCACGGCCATCCGTTTATTAAATTTTTTTGAGACTTTTAACTTTCATTACTATCATTATTATTATTAACAATAAAAGTCATTAATAAATAAGAATTATAATTTTTTTATTTTTAAGGATCCGTGTCAACGAAACACAATTCGATAAACAAAAAAGTACATTATCTGTGAAGTCCTTTTATCGAATTTTTGAAACAAGACTGTTTTATTGCGAGGTTCTCGTACAGATTGAACAATAGAATCTAACTGAATTTCGAACTGAAGCAATTATTTTTTTCTACGCATCATGTCGATCATTACTATTATAATAAGATCGGCGTTGTGCATAAATGCATAAATATAATGTTTTGTCGCGCGCGTTTATCGCACAATAAACGCGTGGAAGATAAAGTACCATTTGTATTTCAAAAATTGAGATTTAATCGCCATGTCCACTTCTGGCTCAAACTCAAATACCAGTTCTAACCCATCTGTCAAATCAAGACCAGTCAAGTCAGCCTTGTCAGAGCGGACAGAAAATGCGACTATGTCAGTTTCTAATGTAACAGAAAAAAAGACAACACGAGTTTCACATTCTAATGTTTCAAGATCGTATAAACTTAAGGATATCATAAACGAGAACTTACAAGCAATGACTGATATAATAAAAACGCGTTCTGAAAAAAGCAATACATTTGTACACAATGAACCTATAATACCTGATACTAACTTTCAGACTCTAGTAGATGAAACCTTATCCGCAATTTATGAGCTGGAAAAGATTGAAAAGTTGATAGTAAAGCAATTAAAAATTGATAAGGCGATTTGTACCTTAATTTTAAAATTGATAGATTTTGGATTGGTTAATAAAGTTTAATTTACCTTGATTTATTCTTTTATTTAATTAAAATTTCAATAATTAAAAGCTTGCAAAATTTTTCATGATTAGTATACCAAGACAATTGACCTGTTACAGAAATTGCGATCGCGACTTTTGGTTTATTTCGAATCTACAACTATTTCTGAAGCGACCAATGCAATATCCTCTAATGAAAGTCTTACGCGTCAACCTGTGATAAATACCGCAGCCATAAAATCTTACGAAGACACGGCAGATATTGTGAAATTATTGGAATTGTCTTATTTTCCGATTCCAGAAAATAATAAAATTCCACATATTGAAATAGTTTCATTGATTTTGACAAGTTTAATCTATGCGATTCAATGCATAATAGTGTTAGAAGAAGGAAAATATATTAAGGTGCGTCACGTATTATTAATTTTTGTTATTAATGAGATTTTTATAATATTCTGCAATTGATATCCAATCATCTGTTTTTTTATAGTTATTGCCCAAATATTTAAGACATAAAGGGAACCCAATATATTGGGGACAAGTATTGGAATCAGTGGACCCGATACAATCTAAAACTCAATTAGAACACCTAATGCGTATCATCTCAAAAGCAATTAGTAGACTTCATAATTTAGCAGGTATCTTTAAATTAACATTTTTTCAAGTATATTTTATAAGATTAACATTTTATTTATTTATTTTTCATTTTATGATTTTAGCGGAGAATGCTTCGAATACATTCTTAAAATTATGTTACTTTTACATGTACGCATTTGTCTTAACTAAACGACCTAATTTATCTACATTTTTCGAAACTAGTTTAAGATTTTCTCTTGGGTTTGAGAGAAAATATAAAAGTGGTGAGTTAATTAAAAAAAAAATGAAATAAGCATTTAAACGAAACAAAAGACGTTTAATTAATAATGAACCAAAATTCAGAACAATCAGCTTCATTATATCAGGAATTAAATGCATATTACAATGAAATGTCGATATTGGTGAAAATGTATATTCAAGATGCTACTGAGTACCCACAATTCCTTGTTTGGCGTAATCACTATTCATACGTTGCTCGAAAGGTATAATAATTGTGGCGCTTATGAATTGTTATCTTGTCTATTACTTATACTAATTGTTTATGGGATTAATTATTTAAGAACAAAAATTCCAAGAAATTGATCGAATTTCATGAGTCAATTATTTGTTCGTTACAGGATTCATCTCAGTCTAAGGGTTCAGCACAAGATTTGGAGAAGTTATTACAAATCGCAGATTTAAGGATCGAAATTACGCATTTTGCGTTAGAAAATCTGTTGTACACACTACAAAGTAAGATTTGGCTTTACATTTTTTAATTTAATAAACATTTATTTAATGCATTATTAATTTTATAATAGATGGAGATGCGATAAAACGAATTAAAGAAGCTCGAGATGCTTTTAATGAATTATCACAAAGCAATATAAAGGAAAAGTTGTCCATGAAAGAGATCAATGCACTTTCGCAGCTTTTCAAGGTTGTCGAATTAATTAAACAACCTATCATGAAAATTGTTGAATTCGTAGAAGATGCCTCCAAAAAAGGACATTCTGCTGTAACAGATTCGAAACGATTATTTGAAAAAGAGCAGGCTCAAGTTTTGATACAAGGACAATCATTTTCACAAGAATCTAATGAAGAAAGCGTCTACAAATGTCTTAAGGAATTAATTCATATTATTGTTCTCTATTTTAATTTCATTTGTAAAAATTATTTTGGTGAATATAAGGTACGAAAGTTATTAAACTGATTAGTAATATTTGACTAGAAAAACAAATTATTTTGACTAATCTCCAATATATAATTTTTAAAGTCTAACTATTTACGCGGAAGCGATTCATCTTATTTAAATCCTGAGAATATTGTGCTGATTACGATTGATATATACGATATTCTTTCTCGGTTAGAACTTAATATATATCAAATGAATGCCTACGAAAACTGTATGTCTTACATCGATCAAGCGTACCAGATTGTTCAGCATACAACATGCAGAGAAGGGCTTCATTCTATTTTTAGAGCGTATTGTCGCATTGGCAACTTTTATTACATAAAGAATCAGTATCATATTGCCAAGAAACCTATATACAGTGCGTGTACAATCTTGATACGGTATTTAAATGAAAATAAGGACTCAGATGAGACCAAAGGAAAGAATAAAGCTTCAATGAATGAATTAGAAGAATTTAAATCTCGTTTGAGTGAGAGATATAATATGTTGGGAAGCTGTTTAATTAAAATGAATGAATATGAGGTTTGTATTTAATATATATTTTTATAGAATACGTGAATATTGTGTACTAAATTGTATCATACATTTAAAGGAAGCCAGCAAAGCTTTAGAACAATCTCTAAAATATCTTCCTAAACGAGATTTCCTTCAGTTTTCGGAATTGGTTTCATCACAAACGGTTTTATCCGCATCTCAAGAATCACCATCAATTCCTAACATAATTTATCGTTATATCTATTCAACTTATTTTAATTGTCCAGATAGTGGATTCACACCAATTCAGGATATTTTCTTAGAAGCAGGATATAACTTTATTGATTTTGCAGGGTTGTTGGAATACGAATTGCGCGTATTTAAGGAGCGTGTATTAGACTCACATAATATTCAATTTGATTTTTTAAATGTAGAAAAGACACTAATTGATACTTTGTTGACTTGCTATCTTCCTGAGAATTATCCTATTCGACGTGCAAGGTCAGTGTTCAACTTACATTCAATAATTATCTTAAATTATTTGTTTTTAATTGTTGTTTTTTTATTTCCGGATATTTTATATCAACTTATAGGATATTAACTGAAAAAGTTAAATTTATGATATATATTGAAGGTGATTCAGATCAAAATTCTACATTGAAGTATATTGAAGAAGCCGTTGATTTACTAAAAACAGATGTAAAATTATTTATTATTTTGATTTTGTTGATACGAATTTATACCAACTTCTCCTAATTTGCCTTATAGAACTTTGGCAAGGATGACAATCTTAGACATCTTTGTTCTTATTATCTAGCGACTGCTTATTCTTTGATTGGTATTCTCACACTTGAGTGGGAACATCGTTCTAACAAATCATTTGAGAGTGCATTTGTAATATGGGAAAGTATTTTAAAAAAAATTCCTCCTTATTTCCCTGGAAGCACTGTTATGAGTAAGCACATAGAGAGCACTAAGAAAAACATTGATGACATTGAAAGGTTTTATGGCTATCTTCGTATCCTTAATATTTTTCAAATATTCACTCTCCCCAAATAATTCAAACAACCATATTCTTGACAGTAATTAATTATTAAGTGTTACTTGTGGATTTTTTTGGAGTCATGAATGAACCAAGGAACAAAATCAAAACGTTGAATCTTATGTTAAGTTTAAATAATGGAGTTAAAGACGCAACTGATCGATATTCAGGTAGTATAATTATGCTTATTTAGGTATACCAAAATATGATTAATTTACTTGAGCTTAAAATTTAGATTCGGTAAATTTATATACTCAGATTGGTCAGACATATTTAAATCTCGGTTATACTGGTAGAGCTGGAATAGCTTTCGAAAAAGCTAAAGATATCCTTGATTCAAATATTTGTACGAGTGAAGTTAAATTATCGTGGATGCTAGGATATAGTCATTATCTATGTGCAATTGGTAATGTTGATAAAAGGTACATTGTTTTTTTTTTACGTAGTCTATCTTTTAACAATCAGAGTATTAAATAATAATTCCTCCCTTTAGTATCTCATTTTTTGACCAATCAACTTTGGTTGCAAATATCAGACAGAATTCTGTAGTTGCGACTGCTAGACGAAGAAAAAATGATCGGATGTTATTCGTGGATGCTGCTTTCACGCGATCGCGTATTTTAATACATTTGGTAAAAATTTATCACACTTTATTGTATTTAAGTTTATATGTTTAACTTATTTAGTTTATTTTAAAGGGTCGTTTAGAAGAAGCCATTAGTAATGTCACGCAGGCTATTCATTTACTTAACAGAATGATGAGGAATGTTAATTTTCACGGAAGACATCAAGATCAAACGGACACAGAAGTTAATCCTTTTCTCGTTGAAAATCAAGTGGATAATAAATGCTTAACTAAGATAAATAAGGAAATTTTTGGTGGCTTTTTGAATTTAACTGCACAAAGATGGAAATGGAGCGTTTTACAGGTATATTTATCTATTACTTACATGTAAAGTAGTGATCAGCCTGATCATTAGTTTCCTTATTTTTATCATAGATGCTTTTTGAATGTAATCACCATCTCGGACAATTACACATCTTACGAGGAAGCATAAAAGAAGCAGATTATTGTTTTCAACAGGCACTGGAATTAATTCAACCTATTAAAGCAAATGCGAGCATAAGTCGTGTTTTATTAAATTTAGCCGAATTGGAATTTCGAAAAAATTGCTGGAAAGAAAGTGAAGAAAAGATTAATCAAGCCATTGAGTATCAACAAAAGGTTCATATTAGTTATTTCCTTTAAACAGATTTAAATTATTTTAATTTGTTAATTACCTTTTATCGTTTAAGTCTGTTATCTTTCGAAAAGAAACAGCTCTCGTAAAGTTATGTTTCGGTGACTTCAAGTATCGAGAAGGTGATTTCAAATTTAGACAAGGGGATTTCGATAATCAGATGCAATGTTATGACTTTGCATTGGATTATTATCGTAAGGCTGTTGATATTCTGACCAATATCATGAAAGAAGAATATATTTCTAAAATTGAATACCTGGACGCAAGGTTTTGTTTAAAACAAAAGTCTCGTAGGAAAAATCTTTTTTTTTGATAAATTTAGCAAATTTTAAATTTCAATTATTCAAAATTAGTGTATTACAAACGCCAAGGAGTAAAAAATTTGTTTCACACTCGGACACGCCGCCAAAAATCAAGCTTACAAGAGACGGTAACTGTCTGTGATTTTTAATGAAATTTAGATCTTTTTAAAGATGATTAAACATATGATAAATTAAATGGTTAGGCAGTAACGAATGTTTTTTACTTTCATATCTTAAAAGTGAACTTTTTCGCCGCCAAGGTTTGTTTGATATTTACCTTTTGAGATATTTCATTAATGGGTATACTTCTAAACGTAAAGAAATTTTGTTTTCAGGGTTGATCTTAAGTAAACGAGGCAAGATCGAAGAGGGACTTAGATTGATTGAACACGAAAAACTTTCGAATCAATCATGTCTTGAAAAGGTTGGATGTTTAAAACAACGAGTGACATATATAACTTACATATATTGCGTGAATAAGAAAGTTTTTTTTTTTTTATAGGCTGAACATATTTTTATTTTGAGTAAAGTCAAAATAATGGAAATTACCACCAAATTAATGAGTCAGAACCGCTTGTTATATGAAAATATCCGTGACTCTGGTATATTATAATTATTATAATTTTAATTTTTTATACGTATATAATTTAATAATGTGAATTAATTTTAAATCACGTTATTACGTTGCAGTATTTTCGTTACCAATGATGAATAATGTTGTTAATAAAAAGTCGAAACAATCCATGAAATTAACAACGTCAGCTACAACCGAAGAAATTGACAAGATGCTTGAATATTTGATGGAAGTTTACGAGTTAGCATATGAGTGTGGACCAACACACTTGTTACAAGAAGCTTCTTTGTGCATTTCGATGGTAGTCATGACCAAGGCCAGTCAATTAAACATTATCCAAAGTGATATGGCTGTTATTTGTTCATTTTATCTGGGTAATATATCAAATTTTTTTTAGGCCTTAGTTTCTCAATTTAGTAAACGTATCTTTATTTAAATATTTGGTATTTAGAAATGACAAAAGCTCTTACAGCAAAGAGAGAAATGTCTGCGGCATTAGATAAGAAATTAAGTTTTCCTTTATTGTATGACGACAACCAATGGCCACAAAAAATTGCTATGTTTCCTTCTGAGTCTAATATTTTACAGAATGAAGATAATGATTTATATGATGACGAAACTGAATCTCGTAGAAGTTTCTTAATGGATTTAACTCAGAGATATAAAAATGAATCATCCTTAACTTATAATGAATTTCAAAAAGAGTTTTTGGATATTTTGCCTCCTAATTGGGCAGTTTGTTCTATTTCCATTGACATCGAAACAGACGAAATGTACATTTGCCGATATCGACAGAAGACGACCCCACTCCTACTTCGATTGCCATTGAAACGTCAATCATGTAGAGATGGAGAAAACGATGGATTAAGTTATGAAGACGCACTTAAAGAATTTAATGGTATTTTAGATTCATCCGAACAAATTAACAAAAATCCTTCAACATCAAAAGCATGGTGGAAAGCAAGAAAGGAATTAGATGTAAAACTAAAAGATCTGTTATTCAATATTGAGAATTGGTGGCTTGGTGGTTTTAAGGTAAATTCATTTAATTGGCTTTTCTTATATAAAAAAATTCGTAGAATGATGCATTTAAACATTTATTATAAAACAGGGAATATTAATGGCGGATAGGCAGGAATCTCCCAGTAGGATATTAAAATTCAAAGAAAAAATGGATAATTTATTATTCAGATGCGAAAATAACAAATTATCTGGAAAGCATTCAAAAATGAGAAAGCTTGATATTGAAACAGAGCTTTATAAATCATTTCTTCGACTAGGGTCAAATGCACAAGATCAAGATGTTGAAGATATTCTTTATTTCCTTGTTGACGCGTATAATAAATACAATGATCAACAGATCGGATATGATGAAATAGACTTGGATCAGGTTTGTTTTAAAATTACTCGCCATTTTTAATTAAAAGTAATGATTAAAGTAATTATTATATTCTAATTTTTAAGCTTATAATGGATGTTCAAGAGGCGTTATCTGATGATGATAATTATATGAACTCTAATTTCGATAATCATGATAATCAACACGTTATATTAATTCTTGATAAAAATGTGCAAATGTTACCATGGGAAAGTTTGCCATGTTTACGATTTCAAGCCGTTTCAAGATTACCGTCTCTTTCGTTCTTGAGAGATAGAATCATGCTAACGAATCATGTGAACAAAAAGGGTGAAAATAAAAGGGGCGAAAAAACGGAATGGTCAGACTATGTCATTGATGTGAATAAAATATTTTATGTTCTTAATCCAAGTCAAAATCTGAAGCACACACAAAATAAATTTGAAGATTTTGTAAAAAAGTAAGTATTTCTTTTTTTTTTAAAACAAAAAGTCAAAGAACCAAAATAAATGAACTATTGCAAAAGTATTAAAGGTTCGGACGGAATTATTGGACGGATCCCTACTGATCAAGAATGGGTAGATGGTTTAACAAATAAAGAACTTTTTATGTAAGTTTATATTACATTTATATTTTCTACTGATGATATCGAATAATTATAATTATATTGTTAGGTATTTCGGACATGGTGCTGGTGAAACATATTGTAAGAGAAATAAAATTAAAAATTTAGATCGTTGCGCTGTAACACTTTTATTCGGTTGTAGTAGTGGACGATTAAAGCTAGGAGGGGAATTTGATCCCTCTGGCATAATCCTAAGTTATTTATTGGCTGGAAGGTAAATTGCAAAGATAAAACTCAATATATTTGACTCATTACAAACGTTAACTATTTTATATCAAATTTTATTGTGACAGCCCAGCAATTGTCGCAAATTTATGGGATGTCACTGATGTGGATTTTGATAGATTCAGTAAATCCATGTTTAAGAATTGGGGATTAACCTCTAATGAAGAAACCCCAACGAAACAAAAAAGTAATGTATCATTAGTTCAAGCTGTCACATTAGCAAGAAAAGTTTGTAATCTTAAGTATCTAATTGGTTCGGCTCCTGTGGTTTATGGTATACCGTGTTATTTACAAGGAAACAGTTGAAATATTGGCATAAATTAATTTAGTATTTAATGTATAACAAAGAGATCTATATAGTTTAGACTGTTTAATTTACTAACCACTCATCATTTAGAAGAAAGCAAATAGAACAACCAATAGAGCAACTAATTAAAATTGTTTTTTTTTGTTTAAAAATTTATTATAATTTAGTATATTGCTATAATGTCATTAAGAATAATTTAGTATTATATTCTTCCAATTTTATCATAAATTGAATAGTTTTAGTATTTATAGAATTAAAGCTATACTTTATATTTAAATCAACGTATTTTAATTATTACCAGCATTAAATGTAATTCTTATTATTCTTATTAGTAATTTTAAGATTAGTAATAGTCTTATTTTATATTTGTGTTAAATGATAAACAATACAACCTATTACCTATATATGTAAACAAATATATTAATAATAAATTAGCTATATATAAATTTTCTTTATATTTTACATATATAATTTTATTTCAGTATATTTTTAATATATTTTTTAAAGCAAAATTTAATTAATATTTAATATAATAAGATTATTATAAATAAATTAAATTAATTGTTAAGACAGCACTTTCTCATTAAGTTTGATTATAAAGAGATTACAGGTTTAATTCTACCAATCATAAAAATTAAAGAATTTTACTACAGATGCTACTACCAATAGCATGTAAGTACAGGAATTAGTATAAGTTGGATTGCACCATAATTACCATAATTAAAGTTGATTATAACTTAAACTGAACTGATCCAGTTCAATTCAGTTTACATCTTAAGTAGACTGAATCATAATTCAATTCAAAAGTTCAGTTTAGTAAGCTGAACTAAACTGGTTCATTTTAAAGGTTTAATTTGAGTAATTTGAACAGAATACTATTGAATATTCATATTATTAAATCATATAATAAATTAAAATTTATAAAAAATCATAGTAAAAAATATGCTAATCATATTAATTTTCAATTTTTTATTTTTATTAGAATATTAAATACAAGAATTTTAATTTTATATATAAATATAAAAACTTTTAATTTTATATAGTATACAGTTTATAAATATGAATATTACTACTTTTAAAGAGGTAGTATAGTGATATTATATAATCATTAAATATAATTCAATAGTATAACTAAGAACAATATTAAATTTAATAAATAAAGAAAATATTAAATTACATAAGTAATTTGAATTTTTTTTTTTTTTTTTAATGATTTATATATGCTTTATTAATATGTAGTTTATATACCATACAAACAAATTATCATAAGCTATGTCCATCCAGTAGAATGCAATCATCAAAATAAGTAATTTAAATTTATTTGATGAAAATTTTATATTTTACTTATAAGTTTAGTTCAGTTTAAACTAAGTTAACTTAAAATGAATTGTAGTTTAGCAGTTCAGTTCAGAGTATAAGCAAACTAAACTATAAGTTGAGTTGACTCAGTTCAAACTGTAATTCACTGAACTATAATCATCTCTAACCATAGTAAATTAGTATGTACAGTTAAGTTGCATATTTTTAATAAAAAATTATGATATCCTCCTAACATTTTCTAAGATGTCATTAGGAGTTTTGAAATTCTGTTCTTAAAATTACTACTATACCTTAGAATTTTTTAAGAAGTTATTAGAAGTTTTAGAATTCTGTTCTTGAATCACTACTATATTTTAGAAGAATGGTCTTATCTTGATGATCGCTTTACAATATCACTAAAGGTGTAGTATGCTTTACTATGAAGGCATAACATATTAGATGATCTATCTAGATAGTAAAATTAAAGGTGCAATATCTTTATAATAATAGATCTTTTGAAATAAGTCTTAGAATAACTATAATATTTCTGAAATGCCAGTAGGAACCAATTTTAACTTTCAGTTAAGTTGAGTACCAGATAGCAGTTCTAATAGTTGGTAATCATATTAAAGAACAAGTCTGTACTTTTTTAATATTTTCTGTCCAAATGGCCATTTTTACACCACTTGGGAATTTATAACTATATTATTAATACTTGGTAATTGTAGGCTACTGTAAACTGTAATAGCTTTTAAATAAGACCTTGTATCTAATATGATAGTATGAAAGGATTTTAGATAATAATCCATTACAAACTAATGAAAGTTCTTATATTTAGATAGCAAAATAAGTAAAATAAATACTAAGACATCTTTATCAAAACATAAATAAAGGATGAATGGAAAAATATTTTTCTAAAAAAAAAAATAAAACAACTAAACCATGTAGAGTAGAAATTCTATTAGATCTAAGTTTAAGCCTATATTTGCATATAAAAGGATAGGATAATAAATAGATAAATCAGGCTTATTAATCATAAGTATTCTGGCTCGCCAGATTTGTCTGAGACTTTCATGAGCATTTTTTAACTGCTAATAGTTTTAAGATTTATACTGAGTCTTAGCTTTAAGAAAAAATACTATAATAAATAAATTAAATTAAAAATATATTTATATATTACCATATATTATAAATCATAGTACTCCAGATATCTTGTAAATTTTAAAGATTTAATTCTATACCTTCTATTATACAAATTTTTACTATTAATTGAAAGTGTTTAAAATTAGAGTATTATTATATATCACATCTAAAATATTTGTTAGATTATTTAAATAATAAAATCAATAAAGAATGTAACTTTTTTTTTGAGAAGTATTATATAGAAGTATTTTTCTTTTTTTTATAGATTTAGATGAACATGGTAAATGATTTTAATATTTACTAAAGATAAATTATTAAAGAATAAAAATCATTCCAAATAAAATTCACTTGAAATAATTTTTATTATATTATCCCTTTAACTGTAACTTTTTAAAAAAAAGTGCTAGATAGTTATTATTTTAACATATCTAAATAGTTTAATTTCAATATAAGTTATTACTTTAACTAATAACAACTTGCTTACTACCATAAATTTGAAAAGTTATATCAATAAATATACTTGAGTCCACTAACTTTAAAGTATGCAATTAAGAGCAATAGTACTGATCAACTATTTTAGTTAAATATATCTTGAAAGATATATAATCAATTCAAAGGTGCTTTTCCTTTTAATTCATAAGAACTGGTGATATCATATTAAACAGTATCATATTTAGAATACTAGCAAATTCTAGACCTAAAAATATAATTTATAACTTATTTTAGAAATGTTTAGAATCCTCTATTGATTAATAATTATTTTATATTATAATAGTAATTAAACTATTTTTTGATTATTTTTAAAAGTACTGGGCAATTTTAATTAGAACAACTTCTTTGATTTAAACTATAGTTTGTGTGAAAATATATTATTTAAGTACCAGTAATATATTATTATTTACTATTTTTTTTTTTTCTTAATAATATTTTTTATTATTCTATAATGATATCTATATTATCTAATAAATATATTGATTTAAATAATTTAATAAACCACTAAACTTTGATCTTTTTAATATAGTAAAAAAATTAAATAATATAAATGAAATTCATAAATTATGAAAAAGGGTTTTTAAAGAATTAAAGAATAATTAAATTCTTCTATTTGGTAATAGAATTCAATTTAAATATTGAAAGAAAAATCGGAATGATGTAAAGTAGCTGTATTTACTGATACTAGAATTAAAAATGTTAAGCATTCTTTAGTTCCAATCAAATGTTTAGAGACCTCTGAAAATAATACCATTATTGAAAAAAAACAGGTTCTATAGTTCCTTTTTATGATATAAAAAAAATGGAAATAGAAATAAATAATAATAGCAAATAAAATGGGTTACATATTAGTAAATAAGAATAAAATTAATTTCATAAAGAGCAAAAAATTTATTAGTAATAACATAATTAAAGTGCATGGTAAATTTAAAAATTAAATTAAAAGAAGAAAAAAAATATTATTAGTATCATGATATTTATTAGATATTAACTACCTGTAAGTTTAGTACGGTAAGATCGGCAAATAGAGAAGCATATATTAAGATATAACGTTTTGTGAAAATGAAATTTTGAATTTCATAATTTACAAAATAATTATATAATGACGCGTGTTAAAAAAAATTCTTTTTTATGAAAAAAAAAAAAAGATTTAATAAAAAAAATTGCATTTGAATTTCAAGAGTCTCCGCTTCTATTATATAATTTTTCAATTCCTTCATCTAAATTCTGCAATCGTATATTTTCAAAAATATTACAGTTATTATAAATGCACCTATTAAAGATGTTGTCATAATCCTGTTAAAAAACATCAGACAATTAGATATTTTAGTTATTTCAATAAAACATAAAAAATCATCGTAATACTAACCACCATTGTATTGCATTAATATCGCCTAATATTGCCTAATAAGTAAGTCATAATTATAGGATCAATTAATATCGTAAAAAATAAAACAAACCGTGCTAAATTAATAAACAAATTTGATAAGTTAAAAAAATATACTGTACGACACCTATAATTACTAAATAGAGAGTTAATAATTTAATTAAAAAAATAGTTATGAGAATGGTCTTTAAATGTCAGTGGCACTGTTTTCCTCCTTTTATAAACAGAAATTTCTTAACCCTTTTTTTGCTTTGCTGATCTTTTAAGTATCTCAAAAGATCTTTCCATTACGTTTATAAGTCGATTATAAATCTCTTTATAAATTGTTGAATTTTCATCATCATCTCCTTCAAAATATGATATTTAAACAATTGATTGTTTAAAATCATTAGCTTCTGTGAATGTAATATTGAGAAAAGGATATTGGTGATGACGATGAACTTGGTTAAAAAACTGAACATCTATAACTCCTTTTTTCTGCACAAGATGTTTACAAATTAAAAAAACAGCTAGTAAGAAAGCAGGACATCATATATCTAATGTAAAACATCTGTTAAATACGCATTATTAAGTGGTCGCTTTGCCAAATTTTATCTTTCCACTCTTTTTTGAATGTTTTTTCGCCAATCTGCCTTTCACGGTTTACTACAAATATTTGCTCAAACTTTCTTTGATTATGTGGAATAACTTGTTCCATAATGATAAACACTACTAAGTCCAAACGTGGATGAAAGAATTTGTATAAAAAATCACGCTTCAATACCTTCCAATGCGCCTTCACAAACATATTTGTTTTAAACATTGAATTTTTATATCACATCCTGCTCGAAACCATAAGAACCAATACCATCAATTCCATAGATATGCCCAGAGCCAAGGTAAAGAATGTTGTTTACATTATAAGCTTCCTCTACTGCCATTATCCAAATAGAATTTGAAGAAAGGAATTGCCCATCAACTATTTGAATCAACGGATATTGAAAATGTTTGCTCATAAATTCCCATACCAAAGGGCGTAGTTCTTGTGGACAAAAACTTACTTTATTTTGATTAAAACTGGTTTAAAAGACAGGTTTATAAAAGAAAAGTGTTGTGCCACCACACCAATTGATTTGTTGAGAAAATTTGTTATTTGATCATCTTGATTCCACGGCTTTCTGTGAAATCTTTGTCAGACAGGAAAAATTCAGGTTGAAGACCGCGCATTTTAATTGTAATAAAAAATTAATGATAACACCAGTTCGAATTCCATCACCACAATCCACTTTTCCCAAAAATAAGTAGGCTAACGGGAAGCAAACTCCATCTACTTCAGCTAGCGGCATATAGTTCAAATTTTTGGTATTATCTAAATATTTTTTTAAAAAATATTAAATTGCAGAAATAAACATTTATTATAAAAAAAAATTACATTTCATTAAAAATTTATTTTAAATTTTATGTGCAAGAATTGAAATTATAACTATTCTATTTTTTAATTAAATATATTTTTTAAAAAATAATCACTTACATATAGCATCCAAACCAAATTTTCACGTAATTGAATTGAGAATCTTGTAATATATCTCATAATTTAGTTAAATCCAAGAGCATTTCCATTTTTGCGCAGAAATAAGGGTCATCTCGGTTATATCTTTTTTACTAAGTTCTGTCCAAGCAAAAGTGGATCTGTTTTTGCCGTTCAAACCACGCTCAACAAGTTGTATATAGATTTCGCGTGGAAGTAAACTAATATTATCTGATATAAAATCTTTGATTTCAGGTGGGATTGATATATCTGCTCGGTTAGGATGTAAAACATGCTGCATTTCTATATCAGATAATGTAAGATCCTCGTGAATGCTAATTTTAATACGACCTTCACAATTAACGAGACATTTGTTGCCTATCACGATACTTATAACCAATCAGGGGTGCTTTTTCGGGTTTAGGTCTAAAAATCCCTTTGAAGATAAATAATTAGTCACATGAATACCGGAAGTTTAATTAATGTCTCTTTACTTGAATAAAAATTTCGTGCCGGCAGATCGGCAAAATGCATAGTGCTGGTGTTTTATAACTTTAAAACCAAATAAAGAAATAGTATAAACGATTGCTAACAGTTCCGATTTTCATACCTTCTATCAGCATATGTCTTTTCCAGTGCGGGTTTAAGATACATAGAGTCCAGCTGACATCATATGCGCCAATATTATATTCACAAAATTAGTTCTTTATTATTTAGATCAAACCTATCTTAAATAACTCTTCAGGATTCCATCTAAACGCTAAGTATGATCATAAGCAGTTTGAATAAATCTTCTTTCAGAGTAAGATGGATGAAATAGTCTCAAGGATTATCTGCATGATATGAAATAAGATGAATTTTGCCGAAATCTACGCAATATGATGGATATGCTAGCCTTGTTTATCTCGTTTAAAGAAACGCCAAATGCTTTTCAATAATAATTAATAACAAATGAAGCTCGAATTAAACTATAAAGGAAAGAGTCCGAGTCAAAAAAAACACTGTAAGGGTATCTTGTTATGATAACTCATCAATTTCAGACAATTATCACACGACAACAATTAGTCATCGCGTTTTTGTTGTGTAACATATGCGAGAATTCCATCTAACACCAACACCAAGTATGATTGATCATAAGAAGTTTGTAAATCTTTCTTCAGAATAGGATGGATGAAATAGCTTGTATTTTTACCTGAAATAAGATGAATTTTGCCGAAATCTACGCAACATGATGGATATGCTAGCCTTGTTTATAAACGCCAAATGCTTTTCAATAATAATTAATAACAAATGAAGCTCGAATTAAGCTATAAAGGAAAGAGTCCGAGTCAAAAAGACACTGTTCTTGTTATGATAACTCATCAATTTCAGACAATTATCACACGACAAAAATTAGTCATCGCGTTTTTGTTGTGTAACATATGCGAGAATACAATCAAACACCAAGTATGATTGATCATAAGAAGTTTATAAATCTTCTTCAGGATAGGATGGATGAAATAGCTTGTATTTTACCTGAAATAAGATGAATTTTGCCGAAATCTATGCAATATGGCGGCCCCTGTTTGCCTCGTTTAAAGAAACGCCAGATGCTTTTCAATAAGAATTAAAAACAAATGAAATTTGAATAAAGCTATAAAAGGAAAGAGACTGAGCCAAAGAAGAATGGGGATGTTTTGTTATGAAACTCTAAAATTTTAGACAATTATCACACATCAAAATTAGTCATCGCATTTTTGTTGATTAGTGCGCGCTTAATCCGTTAATATTATTTTGAATAGATGGAATAGATGGAATAATTGATTATCAGGGTGTTTTTAATTATAAATACTCTGTTAAATATCTGAAATAATTAATTTAGATCAAAAAAAAAAATAAAAAATGGCGTATGAAAAAGGAAGTGAGTATTTTTTTATTTTTTTAAAAAAAAAATTATGAAAATGAACTAATTTATTATTTTTTTAGATCGCATTCAATACTATCCAAATTCCAGCAACCACCAACACACAAAAGTTGCAGTTATTCAAGAAGTAAAACCGAATCAAATTTATTCTATTCTTCCAAATGGCGAATCTGAACGGATTGGTATTTTGAATTTTTTAAAATATACGTATATAATTTTTTGGAACTTTTTTATGACCCATATGTATTTGCTTTTTTAGACATTCACGAGAATCAAATTGTTGGGCTAAAACATGAAAATAAATAATTTTATTTCTTTGTATACTGTTTACATTTTTGTAATTTCTACAAGAGTAGCTCATATGAAACAATAAAGGTTAAATAAACACTTTGTCAGTTTTTATCAACTATGTATCAACGAAACCTCTATAAATTGGTTACATTTTGAGTAATTTAATTAATTGTAAAAACCTAACATAAGCGTCGACGCACGATAATACAAATTTCCCTATCTTTCTTTTCCATCAATAATAATATGTTTCATGACATATAAATCCAATATATTCAACCAATTATAAAGTATGTCCATTCAAATAAAACTCCCTCTACTAAATAGGGATATGTTTCGCAATTTTATTATTTGTATTTGTCTTTACTATGGGTAAAATTTTATTTTATAGATTTCATAAAAATAAAACATCCTAAAAGTGAGTCAAAGTCTCATAATATATTGAATAATCTCATCACCTCTTGACTGATTAATTAAGATGATTTAGTAGGCCTGTTCAATTGTCGTTCGGGTTTTTTGATCGAAAATCCATTAACAAATCCTACAAAATTTTGAACGGTTAACCTTGGTATAAGGTAAAGAAGCAATACCACAAAGGGCGCATATTACTAGACACGTTAAGGTTGTTGATCAGGTCACAATTTCATCAGCCAATAATTATCAACTAAAAAATTCCGAACGATCAGAACCTGGTTAATCTGTTTATTTACCAATAACCTGTTTTTTAACTCTATTAAGACAACTTTTAACTTACAATTGAATTGTTTTTCACGTAAATCACATGCCAATAAATGTTGGTATTTTTCCTAATGCGTAAATGCTTTCTTTTTCTTTGTATTTTACTATGATGAGACTAGTTAATAATGAAATGTAATAGACAATCTATTGAAGGTAACCAATATTATTTTTAAGCCAAGTTTATAGAGAAAAGTTTAGTCTAATATAATTATAAAATAATTCTTTTATATTTAAAACTGCAAGTTTTCATTATTAAACACCACGTGATCTAAAAATTCATCACCGTATCGATCTTGATATAGATGCGGTATGCTTCTTGATAGACATATTTATTTTTATTATTGATATATCAAGAACTATCCCCTGACCTATCAAGATCGATACTTTTGCATCCCCGGCATCACACCCACCGCATTTTCACTGTTTACATTATCTGACCTTAAATGTCACTGGACACGTAGGGTAGAATTTAATTTTAATTATAAAATTGTTGGGTAAATTATCTTTAGAATAATAATAGAATTTCTTACTATCAAAAAACGGGTGAAATTTATTTAATTAACATTTTTGTGGGTAAGGTATCACTGCATCCAGTGCAACAAAATGGAAATGTTACGCAGTATTTTATAACAGAAAAACCACAGCTTTCAAATGCATTATTAATTCCCCTTCTAATAAAAATTAAAAAATGACTTGTCTTTATATTAACAGCAGATTCTTATTATTTACGAATTTTCACTGATCATCACAAATTAAATAATTTAAAATATAGGATTTTTCAATATTTTTTTTTTATATTTGGTTTATAAATTAAAATATAATAAAATAGTAAATATCAATATAAAAATTATATTGTTATTAAAATGAATTTATTAATTCTAATAGTTTGATTAGACATAATAATTTAATGGTTAATTATAATTTTAGTTAATTAACTGTTAATTAATAATTCGTATATAATTTAAAAGCTTAATTATTGGAAGTCATGTAATTTGGGTCTTATAGTCTATTAAGTACAAATAGTAAAATGTTAATGCTAAGATTGCCCATTTCATATGTGGCATACCTACAGAGTTACAATGACTACTCAACAGTACACAAGTACACAAGTACACAAGTAAGGTTTGCTGGTAAATAACAAGTGATTTATAGGTTAATTTTATTAGAATTACCATAAAAAGTTTACTTTATATAGTTTTATTTTATATTTTAACTTTTTAATTAATATATTAAAATTGATTTATCATTTTAATAAAATTCTAACCCAGTTATAAATCTAATTTTAATAACTGATTCCAACCTTTAATAATAATTTATAATTAATAAAACAACTTTATTTTTATATAATATATTGTAAATAAATAAAATTGAAAGTAATAACTTAAAAAAATAAAAAAAAAAAATTTAAAAGAAAATTATTTTTTTACAATTAAAATCAAAAAATAATTTATAATATAAATACAAAAATAAAGAATATTATTTTGCTTTTTTTTAAAAAAAATAACTATAAAAATAAATTTCATCTATTTATTTATTTTGTTATAGATTTATCAAAGTTAAATTAAATTATATTTATATAAAATAATTTAATAATATTTAAAAATTGCTTTATTTTATAATTATATTACTATTCAGTTATATAAAAAATAATTAATTGTCTAAGATTATATGATTTTTACTAAGTGATAAGTAATGTAAACTTATATATATATAGACAAATATTTTACTAACAAATTATATTTAATTAATTGTTATTAACAGAATAAATAGTTGGTAGATATACATATATAAATATTCTTTATATTTTACAATTTTATTAAAATAAAAATAATAGAAAAAATTACAAAATTAGAATTGTTTATCTATATTACTATCAAGTGATCTATTTAACTTAATAGGTATTCAATATTTGAAATATATTGTTTTAGCTAATTGGCTCTATTTTCCATATCAAATGATTACAGAACCACTATATTTCATGTTTATATAATAATAAATTATTTATTTATTATATTAATAATTTGTAAAAAAAAAAAAAATAATTAATATTTGTTTTATTTTATTATAATTTTATTATAATTTATTATATTTGCTAATAAAGTTTAATATTTATATATTTATTAGATACATTTGTAAAATGTTTTTTTTTTTGAAAATGGTTTATATTTAAAGTTAAAAATATAATTAAATATACTTTAGTTAAATATTTTTATTTAAATATAATTTATTTTTAAATAATTTTTATTATTTAAATGGAATTATATATATATATACTATATATTTAATATTTACTTATAAATAAAAATAAAAACTTTTTTGTATAATACCAGTTAAATTTATTATAATATTAAATTGCTTTAATTTTTACTTATATTTGAATAAAAGAAAATCTAATATGTTTATTAAATACATTTACTAGCCAGAAAGGATGCTTTTCATAAAGTAAAAAACAAAAAAAAAGGAAATTTAATACAAAAATATTAGCAATTTCTTTATATTTAGGTTAATATAAATCTAATAATTTCTAGATTAAATTTATAATAATCAATAAAAGAAATTAGATTTTAACTAACTATAAATTAAATAATTTCTTTAATCCAATCAATATATAAAATATATAATCTATGCAAAAATTGTAATTTGAATTTTCTTAAATTTTAAAACTTATGCAAAAAATTAAAATCTTAGGTTATATAATATTAAATTCTAAAATAAATTTATAATATATAAAAACTATTAGTAAAATAATTAATTTATTAGTGATTATATTAATATACTTGTTAATTTCAATTCTAAAAAATAATAATAATATCGTAAAAAACAATTTATTTTAAGTGAAAATATGATCAATTGGATTAATTAATCAAATAATCAGAATTATATAAATTAAAATAATAAAACAATAATACAATAATATGATATATTAAAATTATCCTATACTACATATAATAATAAAAAATTTTTATGATATAAGACAACCACCGCAACTAATACCACCTTTAGTTACAAAAGGATCAGCTGGTCCAGCTGGTCCCCATACTGAGGGAACAAGATAATCTTTGGTAGATTGAACGTATTTAATGAGCCTTTATTAATTTAGAAGAATTGAAATTAAAAAAAAAATCAAAAAAATGCGAAATTATAGATAAATACATTAGTCTTGAACCTACATTGAACTTGCTTGGGACACTCTGACTCTTGGTAAATCCAACTGTTCACGAAGACGTTGATTATGATCAAGAATTCTTTGAAGTTTATAATCTACGTTTTTTTTTGAAGACATTATATTTATAATCCCTGGAACGTAAACTAAACTATTTGATTATCAAATGTTTAGTTATATACAGAAAAGTAAATGACAGTTAAACCGTTAGCCAAGTTTCATCAAAATTAGGGAAATAAAATACGCGATATTCTTAAGCAAAAAAAGTTCTTGAAGGAAGAAATTAAGTAAAAGTATTTAAATGTACAAATGTCGAGGTTTCTCTTGCACGTTAATTCAACCTACCAATTTAAAGAACGATGAGGTTGAGTTCCGCTTTAAAGTGAAAAAGCTGTATAAATATAAATGTTGTTTGTTTGTAGATCAAATAATTTTATTTTAACATCCTTTCTTTTTTTAGTTACATTACAGTACCAAGTAAATAAATTTTTTAAGTATTATCCGTTGATGACGATCTTTTGTAAATGTTTGTTACATTCTATTATAGATTTTTCCCATCCGTGTTAAATAATATAATGCTAATGAATTCGCGTTTCATCTTCGTTTCATTTTTCGTTTTACGTTTTCGAATTCATATTAAAAAGGAAAATGCTCTCATTATCATTTTTCAGTAACAATATGGCATCAAAGTATGACTTCATGTGTTTTAAAGCATAATATTGTTGCTATTTATGTTGCTTACAAATTTATTATTGTTTTGGAAGAACATTTCGTGTTGCTAAAATAATTTTTAAGCGTTCTCAGCCCTACTTCTGTCCAGTAATTAATGGCCGTAGTTATAGCACAGGTTCATATGACTAAATGGCTAATACATAGAGTTTAATTTGGATGAATTAATAAATTGTTTTTTTTATCAATTTAGCCATTACTTCCGGAGACAATGAACCTTCTTTTTTGGATTCTGTTCAAATTTATTTTAACAAGGTAGTAAATTATTCATAATAGGTTTACCTTTATATATATTATATTAATGAATATTTTGATTTTGCGAAGGCGGCGAAGATTAGTGGAGTATCTGAAAAGACTCTATCTCATATCAAAGCTCCTGATTGTTCGCTTCAAGTCACATTCCCAATCGAGGTAAATATAAATTATTATAATATTATTTAATATAAATTTTTTAATCTTCCTATATTTTAAGGTCGATGATGATAAGGTTGAAATATTGACGGGTTATCGAGTTCATCATTCGCGTCACTTGCTTCCAGTAAAAGGTGGTATACGGTAAGCAGAAAAATGTATCACGTGACTATTATAATTTTGACTTGATAATTTGATTGCAATCAGATTTTCACCCGGAGTTGATGAACAAGAAGTTGCAGCATTAGCTGCACTTATGACTTACAAGTGTGCTATTGTCGATGTTCCTGTAAGTTGGTTAAGGTCTTTTTCCAAATCAGCATCTGTTCATATTAATAAATGTTCAATATTAATAGTTTGGAGGAGCAAAAGGTGGAATTTCAATTGATCCCAAAAAATTTACTTTAGCACAATTGGAAAGAATTACGCGTCGTTATACTGTAGAACTGTGTCAAAAGGTAATAATTTCTTTTCTTCTTCATTTTACATCATAAATTAAATTTTTTCTCCCTTGCCAAGGCATTTATTGGGCCAGGTGTTGATGTTCCTGCGCCAGATATGGGTACTGGAGCTCGTGAAATGGCTTGGATTATGGATACGTTTAGACAATTTCATCCCAATGATGTAAATTCCATTGGTTGCGTTACTGGCAAACCAATATCGTTAGGTGGTGTTAGGGGAAGAAACGAAGCTACTGGATTAGGTGTGTATTATGGTGTAAGGGAATTTCTCTCCTATCCTGTAGTTCAAAAAGCAACTGGACTTAGCGAAAAGATTGAGGGTAAAAGAATTGTCATACAAGGATTTGGTAAAGTTGGCTATTGGGCTGCAAAATTTTTTGAAAAGAATGGGTCTGTATTATATGTCATTGTTAACTATATTTTGCCCCGGAATTATTAATGTTTTTATGGTTTTAAAATATTTAGTGCAAAGATTATTGGTATTGGAGAAAAGGATTGTGGTGCTTATAATCCTAATGGCATCAATATTGAAGATTTATTCACTTATCTCGTAAAGGCCGGAACTTTTCAAGGTGCTCCCAATGTAGACATTATTGATGATACTTTAAAGGTATAATGTGAGAGAATTTTTCATGCTTCTAATATTCACACAGTTTCGTGGCTTTTCAATTATGACAAATTTCAGATTCTTGAATTGGATTGCGACATTCTTATACCAGCAGCTTTAGAAAGACAAATCAACTTAGGGAATGCAACGAAAATAAATGCAAAAATAATAGGCGAGGCTGCAAATGGTCCTATAACTCCAGCAGCAAACGATATTCTTATCGAGAAAGGGATAATAATTTTGCCCGACTTGCTACTTAATGCTGGTGGTGTAACTGTAAGTAATTGGATAAATAAGTTTCGATAATAGCCGAATAGCGAGCTATGTTAATTCATCATTATTATTTGGTTTCTATAGGTGTCATATTTTGAATGGTTAAAGAATTTATCACACATGAGATTTGGTCGTATGACTAAAAAATGGGATGAACTTGGAAAATCTAAATTAGTAGAACTGGTTGAGAATAACGCTGGTAGACAATTAACTGAATCAGAAAGAAAAAGTATTGTACAGGGAGCAGAGGAACGAGATTTAGTTTATTCTGGACTGGAAGACACGATGGTAGCAGCTTGCCAGGAAACAAAAAGTACCGCTGCTTCTAAGGTATGTTCAAAGTTTCATATGTTTTCCAGAATATTGTTTTAACATTGAAGTATTTTATATTATAACAGAATATAGACTTCAGAACCGCAGCATTTGTAAATGCTATCCAGAAAATAGCAAATGTTTACGAAGGGTCAGGAATTATGTTTATGACTTAATTTATGTTTAAAAATCAAATATTTGTTGTTTCATATTAATAAATTGAATAATTGATAAAAAGAAAAATAGCCGCTACTTTTCATTAAACTAAAATAAATACATTTGGAAAAAAGCAAAAACCATCACATATATTACAATCAACTTTACTTCAACTCTCGTAAATAAATTTTTATTTCTAAACGACCGTGGTAGGGTTTGAACCTACGACCTTCTGCTAACCCAAATACAACCGGAGGCAGACGATCTATCCACTGATCTACACGGCCATGATACTGTTATATTTTTAATTATTGTTTTATGGATATTTAAAAAATTACTTTCTTGTTAAAAGAAATTGTATCACAAAGAAATAAAGAAATAATTTCTTTATTTCTTTAATAAATGTAAAAGTTACTAATTCTTAAAAAAAAAATATTTTCATAAAATATAAATATGATACAATCACATCATATACAGTACATCATATCTTATTTTAACTACTAGAAAAAATTTTTTTTATTTTTTTTTATTTTTTATTTATTTTTATAGATGCAGTCTTATTATTATAACATTGCTAACTTACTTACATTTAACTTATACAAAATAAGAAAAACAAATATGTATAAGATCTAAAAATAAGCATTATAAAATATGACTACTCCCTCAAAGAAAAAGTCAACCTGGCACCTATATAGTTAAATAATAATGCAACTAAAATTTCTAGGTAACCAAAAAAAATAATTTATAAATTAATTTTTATTATCATTATTAAGAAAGCAGTACATATACAGTCAAAGCTCATTATAGTGAATCTCGTTATAGTAAATATTAAGTAAAATCATGTTATAGTGACCTATTGATTTTTTTCCTTATAATTAATTTCTCTCAATATAGTGAATTTTCTTAATAAATCTCGTTATAGTGAAAAAAAAGGGAAAAAATCACATAGCGAAATGGAAAGTTCACTATAACGAGCTTTGACTGTAGTTAAAAAGTAAAACTACACAAATCTACTTTAAACCTACATATAACTAATATTACTCTACTCAATATAGTGCAATAGTCAAAGGTACTTATGAATTAAAAGAAAAAAAAAATAAAAAATAAAAAAAACAAAACAAAAAATAAAATGTAAAATAAAAGGAAATAGTTGCAACAGAAACCTCTTTACAAAAATATCTACACTTTTAAAATTAAAAAAATCAGATCTATCCTTCTAAACTTTTTAAAATTCTTCTAGTTTTCTAAATATTGATTGATAAAACTATAAATTTACTAATACCACTTAAGGATTTGTCATTTTTTTTAATATTGTTGTTAGTTAGTATTTTGCAAGTTCTTGAAATTATCATTTTAGTTTTTCTTATTAATTATCTATTTTTAGTGATCTTGAATAAGACTTATTTAAATTATTAGATGAATAATAACTTTTTCAAGTACTGGTAAATTCTTGCAAGGTGAATTCTATTTTAATAATTTAATTCAAGTCTGCCTATGATTTATAATATGTAATTAACTTGTATTTTTATTTATTTTGAATAATTTTAAATACTTTGCATCTATAGGTGTAAATGATGAATAAACAGAATTATCTAAATATAAAATACTTGTGATATTAGTGGCAGAAATATCTATTATCACAACTTGAAATCATTCTTATTTCTTTTATTGTTTCAGATTTTAAGATACTAAAACCTATCTAATAGAAATACCTTTAAAAAAAATTATTTGGACTCCTTTATTCTATAGTCTTATAGCCATTTCATTAAGATTAATCAATATAATCACCATTTTCTTCTAAAAATAAGAAAAAGTAAATAAATTTATTTTAATAATACAATAGGTTCATGATAATGAAAATAAATTTTGAAATAACAGATTATAGAAGTACATGATTTTGCTTTACAAAGTTTTCTGCAAAGGTTATTATTTGTCTTTAATATTATGCAATTTATGGAAAAGAAAAGAATTAAAGATAATTATTCACTTTTTTTGTGTCAATTATTTTCCTTCTTATGCAATTATCAATCAATTTAAATGCAGGATATATTAACATAGATATATTTTAAGCAATGAATTATCTTTTAAATTATTTGGTTCTTAAAATAACCTATTAAAGTACCTATTTAATACTAAAATTCAGTAGATTAAATTTGTAAAGAAAATATAACACATATCTAAAAAGAATATTTTTTCAGTTATAATCAAATATAAATTATCAATTAGGAAATAAATCTGTAAAATTACTATTTATAATATCTTTTTTACCTAATCTCAGTTTGATATTTTGTTATGTAAAAATTAAGATATAAAAGAAATACATACAATTATATAAGATTTATAAACTGAAGAAAAAAATATTACTAAAGAACCTTTCAATTAAAAATGCAAGTCAAATAATAAAAAAATAAGGCAAAAAAAATCTTAAGATCTTTAAATGAAATTATATAAAAAAGTAATAAAATTGAGTGAGATTATAAAAAAACTAATAAATAAGCTATAAAATAAATTGAAGATTAAATAATTTTATTTTTATTTTATGATAAATTAGCTTTTTAATTCCTTTTATTTATTTTTACAGATAATTTTTCTTATAATTAACTAATATTTTTTCTTGATTGAGTTTTTTGGTTTAAGAGCTACTAACAATTTTTTTTTTTTTTTATATCTATTTTATAATTAGTTAAGTTAAAGAATAACTGAATTGACCTTTAGATGTAAAGTTTTATTATAATTTAATTAATGATATTATATATCTTTATCTATATATTAAATAATAAAATAAGTGTCAACTCTTAAAAAAAATAAATAAATATTATTTTATTGATAATAATTAATTTTAAAATATAATTTATTAATAAAATATTTACTTATATATATATAATAGGTTTGCATTGCTTATAATTTCAAATATAATTTATTTAAAATAGAATAAAATAAATTATATTATTATATTTATTTGAAAATCCAAATAGTTTGTTATATTATTAATAAATTAAAATAATTTAATTGCTGATTTATTTAAAATTAGCATTGCATTACTAATAAAATTCAGAAATAATAATGATAACAAAAAAAGCAGTTTTACATTTTATGCGTAAAATAATAAACAGAAGTACTATAAACTTTTACCTGGTTCTAATAATAAAAATATTTTAAAAAAGTCTTTACTCTTTAGAAACAACTTTAAAAGCTAAAAATTATATGTTTTTAATATAAATAATGCAATATAGCAAAATAAAATATTAAAATTTCCTATATTTTATTAAAGTGTAAATCTGATGTGTGTACATAGTAAACTCATTATTTTGCATATCTGATATGAACATATAATTTTTTTTGCAAAATTTTTTTTTTCAAGTATTTTAATCTATTATATAACTTTTATTTATAATTAATATATAGTGCTAAAAGTCTATACTTGACAATAAAAATGCAACTATTAAAAATCTTTTAACTTCTTAAAAAAAATACAATTTAGAAAAAATAAACTGATAACTTTATTTTTTGAGATAAGTTCTATTAAATTACTAGTCAGATTTTTAAAAGAAGATTTACATAAAAAGTTATAAGCATTTGAAATTGCATGATTTTCATATAATTGGCCCAAATTTGAAACAAAATATGTTGGCTAGAACTTATGATAATTTGGGCTGACTCCATATATTATGATAATACCAGCCTGAATTATCATAATATGAATCAAATGTATTTTTTTTTAAAAAAAATTTTTTATTAATGTATGACTTTTGTGAAATGTAGTTGTGATTTGTTGCTGAAATTTACTTTTTCTTATGTTTTGTAATAAAAATTTTCAAAAACTGCATTTTATTAATATTTAATACAAGAAATTCCAGTTTTTTATTGGCTGAATTCTGGATCACATGATATAAAATCAGCTCAAAAAATTGAAATAAAATCATGTGATTGTCAAGTATAAACTTCCAGTATCATATCATTTATAAAAATATCCTTTTTTTGAAAATTGTATTTTAGCACAAAATTGGCAAATTTAACCCAAATTTTATTAGTAATGCAATGTCATTTTTAGACAAATCAGCAATTAATAATTTTAATTTTATTAATATTAAAAAATTAGTATTTAAAATATTTTATTAATTTTATTTATTATATATAAAATAAGAATATACTATAAATTATAAACATTATTGTCCTTTTTATTAAAATTTAAAAAATCTTTTTTTGTGATTTTTTTAGTATTTAGTAATTTAATTTTGTTGAATTTTTTTTTAAATTGTAAAGCTTAATAAAAGCTAAAAATCAAAATCTTACAATTAGTTTCTCTAAAATTTTACTATAGTTTTATTATTATTTCAGTAAGATTTTAACAGTTTTAGCATTTATAATAAGTTTTATTAGATTTTGCTTTTTTGCCAACTTTTTAATAAAACTTTTATATAGTTTTGCCAAAATTTCACTATTTTGGCATTTCACCAACTTGCTAAAACCCTTTAATTTCTTCAGCAATCTTAACCTAGAAGGGTTTGTAGTAATAAAAGTTATTTGATATTGGGCCTACCTGATATTGGATTGATTTAGTAATCTAATAAGTTATATCTATACTAAAAAATTTAAACCTAAAAGTGTAACTAAATTTCTGAAATCCTATAAAATATGTATTATTCTTTTTAAATCTATTTAAATACATAAATACAGGATCTTTTGTTAATTAGAATTATCTATACATTATAATGATTATTTTATCAAAGTATTTCATATATTACTGTTAAACTATTGTAAAATATTTTTGGTTAAATGTGAAAATTTTATTTTCAAATTGATAAATCTCAATTTATAATGCTCTATTAAAAAAGCCACTAGAGATGGAGAGGTGCCGGCATGATAAACACTTATAGCACGACACTTGTCCATTTGCAGAACCTTATATCCGGTCAACCATACTTTTATATGCTCCAATATTTACAATGAAAATTCTATTTATTTAAATTGCTTTTTAATATCTAATATTCTAATTTCAATTATCGGAAAGAACTAAAGAACTCAAGTAAATAAGTCACCCTATGCTATCAAGTTATCTTTCACCTTTGTGTACTCTATTCACGTGTGATTTTAAAGTATCGGATCGAACGAAACTTTTTCCACAATTATTTATTGCACAAACAAAAGGTTTTTCACCAATATAAATTTTATTATGCCTTTTTAAATCACCTACTCGTGTAAATGATTTCTCACATCCTGATTCATGACATTTATAGGGTCTTTTTCCGGTATGTGTTCTAATATGTATTCGAAGCTCACTAGAATCAGAAAACTTTCTTTGGCATCCTGTTTGATTACACTGAAATGGCTGATCACCAGTATGTCTCCTAATATGTCTCTTGTAACCACTGAAACTAACAAAATTTTTTTCACATCTAGGATAATTACAAACGTATGGTTGTCCCACCCGAATGAGATTTAATATGTTGTGATAAATCACTGGACCTATGATACTTCTTGTCACACCCTGGTTCATTACAGCTGTAAGATTGATTGGATTTAACGTGCTTTAATAAATCACTAGACCAGTAATACTTTTTGTCACAACCCGTTACATTTGTAGGGTTTTCACCTGTATGAACTGCTAAATGCCTCTTTAATTCATTAGAGTAACAGAACTTCTTATTACATCCTAATTGACCACATATAAAAGGTTTTTCACCGTTATGAATCCTCATATGTCTTGTTAAATTATAATTTGTTGAATACTTTTTATCACATCCTATTTTATTGCACTTAAATGGCATGTCAATTATACGAGTGTTGTCCTTCTTGAAAAATTATCATTAAAAGATCTTTCATCCTGATGAGATTTTGCATGCTTTTTCAAATTATCAATTCGATTAAATTTACTTTCACAATTAATTATTTTACAAATGTATGGTTTTTCATCAGAATGAACCATAATATGTCTTTTAAGGTTGAATGATTTCTCAAAAATCTTACCGCATCCGAATTTTTTGTAAACAAACTGAACACTTTGCCGACTTTCTGGATGTGTTAATTTTTGGGTTTTATCCTTTTAATTGACTTTAATTAGGAAAATGGTAAAGAATAAAAAGAAGAAAAATTCATTATTTTCTTACAAAATTAGATGAATAATCCTCTCTAAAATGAGAAGGATCAATTGATTCATCACTATCGTCAATGATGATGAACTCTCTGAAGAATTATCCAAAGAAGGATCCGAACTTTCCGGAATCATCAAGCTATCTTCATTACGCTGCATTAGAATATCTTCTCCATTTAAGTTATTATCATCTTCATCATGCATTTCAACATCTGAATCAAGGACTTCTGCATCTTAATAAAAAAACTCCTAGTTTTTTAGTATATACTAGAATATAATTAAAAAAGGAAATTAACAAATTAATGAAATACCGGAATTATAATCATCTGCGTGTTTTGCAAGAATAAAAAATATTGGTTTACTCATTTTTTTAAAAAGAAAAATATTTACTTAAATATTTGATCTTCAAACTTGACTTTTATGGATAGAATGTGGATGTCTTTTTGCTATGATCGGATAAATTCCATGAGATATCCATCGTAATTAAATGCAAAAATCGGAAATATAATTATTCAAACTTGGAAGCTAATTTAAAAGGTTTAATTGTCCAATTGCAAGAACTGTAAGTGGATAAATTTAGGGCAAAACCGAACTCAATCATCAAAAGACCTCAATAATAATAATGATATCATTTTGACGATTTGGTCGATCATGGCTTAAAGATGAATGTCGGATTACAGGACCGGAAACCCGATAGTTTTGTTAAAGTCAAGAAATCGCTAATCATTTTTATTTTTTTTTGTTCAGATTATATCTTTAGCCTGCTTCGCCACAAAAATTAGGATCGAAATATCAACTCTTTTTTTGGGGCTTGGCTTGTTCCGTTAGTCAAGCTTCGAGTGACAGTTTATAATATTACATATAAATAGAAATTATAAAAATCCTAAAAAAAAAAAATTCATTTCCTTTAAATCTTCAAAAATGACAAATCACCCATCATTGAAGAAGAGTTGTAACTGGGATTGTCGCAACTACACTGATTTCGCCATTAATCATAGCAGAAAACAATTCAAGCACAAGGATTTGATGCAGCGGGTTCATTTGCAGCATGTGAGTGCTTGTGCAATTCTTCAATCAAACTGAATGCTATTGGATCAGCTGTGCTAAATTAGCAAATTACTTGGATTTGTATAAAACTTTTCCTAATGTCATGTAAAATTAGTGGTTTTTTATAGACGTAATTATAACTGGTTTATCTTAATTTTATTATTTACTGACAAATAATATACATCAAATAATAATATAATTGCTTAATTTAAATTCAAAGAATTAGAGAAATTGCTAATTTTATTGATCTACCAGCAAGTAAATTGGTAATTATTCTGATAATTATGAAGAGGAAGAATTCTTTTTTTTAAAGGAAATGTCATTTGATTAGGTTTAAACCTTAATCAGCAAATAGAGTAAAACTCTATTTTAAATGTACTGATGGTACCATGTATTAATGGTTGAAATCTTAAAAAGTAATGATGGATAATTATAGATCTGATGTATTATTGCTATCAAAAAAAGGCATGAACATCTTATTTTTACGGAAAAAAGAAGTGTTTGGCGTAAATTAAAAAAGGTTTGTAATACTATATATAGGGAATCAGAAATCGAAAAATCAGATCGTCAAGCTCTTGAAAAAGATCCGCGCTTGTGTCACAACTTTTTTGAAACGGCTGTAAATGGTTAATAAACCGAATTTTATAAAACAAAAAAAGAATTGCTTATTGATTTATAGTCTAACTGATTAATTTCAAACTTTAAAGCGCTATCTGGAACAAAGATCAAAGATTAAATCAAAGATCATAATCAAGCCTATGAATTTACCCAATTAAATTAAAACCTTTTCTTGATAATCTTCGTGGTACAGGTACAATTTTAAATTTGATTTTCCCCTTAAACTCCCAAATATAAATATAGTCTTAAATATTGTACTTCTACCTTGGTTTAATTCATAATGAACTTTTCTTATTTATTCATTATTTTACTTTTATTTATTAATAATGTTTTATCTTACGGATATGTAGGTCATCAAATTACTGCATCTATTGCTCAAAGATTTCTCTTACCAAAAGTGAGAGAACACGTGCGAGAACTACTTCCTAAAAATGCAAACGGAAATCTATATCCGTAAGTTAGCTTTGGAATAAATTAAATAAAATTATTTTTAACCTCATGAATTTTTTTTTTTTTAGCATTGCGTCATGGGCTGATCGAGTAAAATTTACACCAAAGTATAGATTCACTTCTAGGATGCATTATATTAATGCTCCACGTAATAATCCCCCAGATAGTTGTACTGTTATATATACACCAGGAAAGATTGATGTATTAAATGCTATACATAATTATACTAATCGTTTGGATCCAAAAAGCAATTTGGATTTTTGGTCTAGAGCTGAAGCGTTAAGATTTCTTGTACATTTTCTTGGAGATTTACATCAGCCTTTGCATGGTAAATATAAATAAAGAGAAAAGATAGGAAAAATATGTGTGTATATAAATATACAATTATAAAACTTAATAAATAATAATTATTATTATTATTGTAGTAGCGGCAAAGTTTAGAGGTGGAAATGGAGCAAAGGGTAAATAATAATTTAAATAATTCTATATATGTATATATTTTAAGATTTTTTAATAACTGAATTTATTATTAAAATACAATAGCAATATTTGAAGGTCATAATACAACATTACATTACATATGGGATTCAAGATTAATCAATGTGAGTTATTAAAATAATTTAATTATTATAATTATTTTACGTTGCATTGCATATGCTAATCTTTTTTATAGAAACATATAAGAGAACTTGGGTATAACTTTACATTTTCTGATGATAATGCAAATAACTTTTACGATGGACCGTTTTTTGAACCATATGTTAAGTATATTATAAACTTAATGAAAACTGTATGGAAACAAGAAGTAGCCGAATGGGCTGTTTGTAATGAAGAAGTAGAGTACATTTTTGAAAAAGAAACACAAGAATTACTTAAGCCTAATTCAATATTATTTGAGGATAATAATAAACAAACTCATTTTGAAGTAAATTCACGACGAGAAAAAGAAAAATATTCTTTAAATAAAAAACAAACTTCAGTTTCTTGTCCAGAATTTTGGGCCGTTCCGTTAAACAGATTAAATTGTCAAATAGTTTGGAAAGATTATATACCTGATACGGAATTAAGTGAAGGAATATATTATGAAAGAATTAAACGAACTAGGATTGTTGAAAAATTATTAGCTATTACTGGTATTAGAATTGCTGCTGTATTAAATAGTTTATTAGGATAGGAATGGTACTGTTTTACAGGCAAATTTCCAATTTGTTATTTTTATATATCTTTCTGACATAAATAATGTTATTATAATAAAATTCATAGTAATTTTTAAAACGAGATATGTTAGATATAAACTGTTAAGGTCAAAATATTTAAGATTAATTTATCTTTATTATTTGTAAATGTGATTGTAAACCCACAACAAACATAATCTACTCGCGATAATATCTAGGAATTAAAAGACAAATCTATTTAAGTTGAACAATTTAATTTAAAATTAAATTAATTCTTTATAGTTGCGAAAATTATTAATAAACGCCAAAAAGTAATAAATATAAAAACATTTTCACAAACAGTGAGTCTTTATGTGCGATTTGCATAAATCCACTCGGGAAAATCTTTTACTGCAGTTCTTTATAGTGCATTTGTACGGCTTTTCACCAGTATGAAGTCTATAATGAACTTTACAATTACTTAGGTGGGAAAATTGTTTTCCGCAACCTAACCATTTACAGCTATATAACTTTTCTCCTGAATGAGTCCTCTTGTGGCATTTTAATGTATATAATTGGGAAAACATTTTATTACAATGCACCCAATCACATTTATAAGGTCTTTCTCCAGTGTGAGTTCTCATATGACATTTTAAACTGTACAAACGCGCAAATTTCTTTTCGCAGTCAGACCAATTACAATCGTAAGGTTTCTCGCCAGTATGAATTCTCATATGAACAGTTAAGGTATGTTTTTGAGAAAATCTCTTTCCACATTGCTCCCAATTACATTGGTACGGCTTTTCTCCTGTGTGTGTCCTTTCGTGGCATTTTAGATTATACAATTGCGAAAATTTCTTTCCACAATTGGGCCAATTACAATCGTATGGTTTTTCACCAGTATGAGTTCTCATGTGCATTTTTAAAGTATATCGCTTTTCAAACCTACTTCCACAACCTGGCCAATCACATTTATACGGCCTTGGTCTTTCCATGTTATAAATTCCTTTTTTTACGTTAATTACTTTTTTCACGTTGTTGTGGATTCTCATGTGTCTCTGTAAGCCCATTTTGTTTGTAACCTTTTTACCACATCCTGCTTCACCACATACAATATAATGTACTCTTTTGTGTACATTAAATCCTCGACTTGTTGGAAATACTCTCTTGCAATTAGGTTCATTACAAATGAACTCTTTCTTCTCTTCTTTTATTTCGAGGTTTGATGCATCTGTATCCTGAGTTTTGGGTTTACGGACCCTTAGTCTTTGGTATAAGGTAATATCATCGCGAATTTTATCACCTTTAGAGGGATTAACGATATCCACAATATTGTCAAAATGAGTTTTATCGGGTTTTTCTTCTTTCTCGTTAGACATAAAATTATCATTAATGCCACCATCACTGAATTTATTGCTGTTTGGCTAGTCAGTCCAATAACAAGAAAATAAAACGTTATAGAATTTGATTTATTCGATTTCGAAATAAATTATTTTTATAATCGTAAATTATTACTTTGAAATTTGGATCTCCTTCATTGTATTCAAAGCTTGGAAAGGTAGGCAAACCAAATTTCGTAAATGTTGATGTGTAAAAATTGTTAAATGAAGTGGGTGCAATAAATCTATTCATTTCGATGGTAGGCTTTTTTTTAAAAACTTTTTTTAAAGAAGTAAAAGTTTTATAAGTTTTATGATTTTTTTGTTTTTTTTTTGTTTTGAAAAAAATAAACATGAACTTGAAAAGAAAGAGATTTAATTTAACCAAATCTTAATTTATTAATTTATATATATTGTGGCATTAGATTCACATGACAACATAAATAAAAAAGAAAACAAAGAACAATCGCGTATCGCGCATCACGCGATACGCGCTAAAGTTTAAAGTTTCACAAATATGACGCGCTTGTTAGCTCAGCTCAGCAATATCAGCCATAAAAGGAATTAAAATAATCAAGAATATTTCCTTTTTAGGTCAGTCAACTGACCAAATAATTAAACTAATATTTTTTTTTTTTGTTAATTTAATTTTACTGCGCCATTCGTTCGAAAAATAAAATTAAGATAACACTGAAGTTCGATATAATAACATAAATTTGTATTCCTTTTAAAATTTGTTTATCCTTGCTGGATCTATTAATAAAGGGAATGCAGGCAAATTCTTGTTAGATAATGGAAAAGTGGTAAGTAAAAGTCCTGGCCATGTACAAGTTATGATAGGCAATATAATGTATTCACACATCTTTATTATAATGCATTTGAACTTAGTAAGAAGGGTAATAATAACATGAAAAATCACAGCACAATATTACCTTTGATAAAGTAAAATAGTTGTTTATAGGAACATTCAGAACGGTATGCACACAAAAAAAAAAAGAAATCCAATCACTCTTAAGTACCAATGCATATATTACTATTGCACAAAAGGAATTATTAATTCCAGCACTTAGAGAATGTGCTAATTATTTGTATAACTAATTCAAAAAACAAATTTAATTGTAATTAAATAAAACAAATCTGAGCTATAATTCATATGATTTAATTATTATTATTTATATATTTAATTCTCATACAAAAAAATTCACAAATTAAGTTTTATTTATAAACTGAGCTAATTAAGTGACTCAATTATTTTGTTTGCTTCTTCAGCAAATTCTTTTTTCTTATGCAATTTGTAATACAGTCAACTCTCTATAAATGCATCCCCCTTGGGACCAGGTATAAGAGTGCATTTAAAGAGAGTGTGCATTTATAGAATACATATAAATCTATATGATATTAATCTAAAATTAAGGTAATACAAAGTTTTTATAAGTAAACTATATAAAATTTTTTTATAAAGGGTGCATTTACAGAATATATATATATATAAACCATGCATTTAGCATTAAGGCCCAAGTTGGGACTAGATAAAAGGTGCATTTATAGAGGGTGTGCATTTATAGAGGGTGCATTTATAGAGAGTTGACTGTATGCCTTTTGTAATATGCCTTTCATACAAGTTTATTATAATTTATATTGGTATTATATTTTGATGCAGAAGGCAAATAACTGTTAGGGTTTTCATTTTCATTTATTTTGGTTTTAATAAAAAAAAGAAAAAATGTTAAATAGCCAAAAAATAGGTGAAACTATTCATCATATGTATTTACTATTATATAAAGAAAAATAATACTATTTCAAATTGCTTACCAAAATCTTTTGGCCATATTTCTTTTTATCAGTTTTCTGAATTTACTTAACAAAAAAACTAACTGGATAAAATAATAAACAAATATTTCCAAAAGTGCTAAAGTAATCAACTAAATTAATTTCAATGATTGTTACATTTTTGATTTCAAAGGATAATAAGTTCATTTTCCAATAAGATGGATGTTTACTATAATTAATATTTCTAATAAGTTAAGTTGAGTTTGAGTTAATTTTAAAGTATTATTTATACAGTAGGGTATATCCTATCAATTGTTTAAACTATATTATATATATTATATGGATTTATATAAATCTTTAGTCTTATGCAAGCCAAATTTGAAATACTAATTATAATAATAACAACTAATTATATGATTTATACTGTATAACTTATTACATATTATTTGTTATTATTTAACTGTAATATAAAAATATATTTTAAAATATCATTAGAATTATATTTTAAATGTATTTTTTTTACATTGTAAAAATATAGAAGGATTTATAAAATATAACTTATTAGTTATTATTATTGCTAAATAAAAACAACTATTAGTAATACTTTAAAGATGCTTTTTAAAGTAAATAAATTATTTTATTATTATATTTCATTATAAAATATTATATAATAGAATACTAAAATTTTGGATTATGGCCTAATAGTTATTAACTATTTAAAATTATTTTTAAATACAAAAATAAAATGCAATATTGAGTTTTAAATAGATTTTTAAAATTTGATAAAGTTTTAAACCTATTTTTAAAAATAAGAAAATTAAAAATTAACTTAATAATTTGAAGAATTAAATAAAAAAAACAAATTATTTGAATAAGGAAAAATATTTTGAAAAAGTAAAAATTAAAAAAGAAATTAATAAGAATGCTATTAAATTTATTATTATCATTACAATCTGTAATAACAGATTATCATTCAGTTTAAAAAAATTGGTAACAGTTTGATCTATAACTAATATTTATGTAGAAATAGTAATAATATATGAATAAAATTTACTAATAATAATAAGTTTTATAAGAATATATGTTATATGTATTTTATTATATGGAAAATTTACCATTAATTTTGTATTAAGATCCATCTACTACTAATAAATGTTACTGTAGAAAATTTTAACTTTTATATGAAACCTTACCTTAGGATTTGCTTAAATCTATTGGTTAATTAGCTAAAAAGAAAAAAAATTATAATAATATAATATAAAACTTTTTATAGTAAGATTTTTAACAAAGTTTATATATAAACTTTATCTTAAACTTAGAGGTAATTGAAATTTAATTAGTAATTTTATTTACTGATTTTTAATATAATTGCTATATTATACTTTGAAAAAATTAATTTCAATAATTTATTTTAAAAAAAAATTCTTAATTTATACTGGGTATTTATATATATATTATATAATTTTTTTAAAAAGTTATGTAAAAACAAATTTTAATAAATATAATTTAATATATATATATATATATTTTTTTTTATTTATACTAGATAATGAGATCTGTTGTAATGTTCAAAGTATTCATTTAAAATTATATATCAGATGCATTACCAAAAATCTGATCACATGATAATAATCAATAATGATTAATTACACGTTCAGATAAACATACCTTGCATTATAATATGTCTAACTAAAGTTATCTTTAGTTATGCTTGTTATTATACTTCAGACAAATTACAATTTACAAATTTACTTAAAGTTAATTTTAAAAGTCAATTTTAATTTATTTAACAAATTTTTTTTCCTGTTTTTTTATTAAATTTATTTATTCAATTTTCAATATCAAATAAATAGCATAAAAAAATTTACTTTTTTAAAAATTATATAAATTATATCTAAATACTTTATATATAAATAAAAAATTAAAAATTATCTATTTTAAATTTATTACTAAAACTTTAAAATTACAATTTATGAAATCTGAAATTTCAGTTATAATAATAAAATTAAATGTAAATTTACCAGAATTATATATTTAATTTCAGTAAAAATTATTCAATTTTTTTTAAAAAATTAATATTATATAGGATTCTAAATTCATTTTACTAAAATTAATTTTTTGTAAAATATTATTTAATTTAACTGAATTAACTGAAATTATAATTTTTAGTGTTGTTTCTTTTTATAAAAATAATTAGCAAATAATTAGTATAATGTTATTTTTATATATTAAATTTAAGGGAGGAAAAAAATAAATTTTTTCATATTAAAATTAATATTATAATTTCAAAATTAATTTTTCTAAAATTTAATCTGAAATTCCATCATTAGTGTTGTTAAGTACAAGTCAAACTGGGGTCTGGTTCACATTACCAACAATTATATTACCGACAATCATTTTACTGATACTCACTTTACCGACAGGTACGTTTTACTGACAATCATATTACCGACAATTATTTTACTGACAAAATAATAATACATTTTTAAGTTACAAAAAAAAGCAAATTATATAAACTAAATTAAGAAAATTATTAAGAACAATTCTAAGTGCAATATATTATGAAGCTGAAATAAATTTTTTAAAAAATAAAGTTTATAAAATTAAATATTAAATTCAAGTTATTTTATTATATATAAATATCATAGTATTTTACATTTTATTATATATTAATCAATTTTTTATTTTATATATTATGGTAAATTCTTTTATATTAAATATATATTTTAATTTTCATAACTGAAGTGGGTAGTGAAATAGTAATAAATACTGTAAGTGTTAATGGTAAAATGAGTATCAGTAAAATGAGTATCGGTAAAATATACCTGTTGGTAAAATGATTGTTGGTAATATGAGTGTCGGTAAAATAATTATCGGTAATGTGAGTTTCGGTAAAATGATTGTTAGTAATATAATTGTCGGTAATATGAACGGGTCTTGTCAAACTGAACTAAACTAAATTGGACTGATAGGGTTAACTTGGTTTGACTTAAAGATTTTTAAGTCATGGTTTGGTTCAGTTCAACTTAACTATTAAGTTAATGAAATCAAATTGATAAGGTTGATGGGATTGATAGACAAGTTGATGGAACTGGTAAAAAATTGATGAGACTGATATTAATAACCCCATTAATTTAACTTGAATGTCTAAGTCAATTGGTTTAATTTGACTTTAGCTTTAAGTCAAACTGAACTAAACCATTAATAATACTATTTATTATAATTAATTTAGCATAATTTTAATTAAATTTATAATTCTAACTAAAATTAATTTGTAATTTTAAATAAATCTATACAATTAAACCTATATAATAATATGTCAGGATATATATGAAATTTTTAAAAAATATCATTATATCAAGGTTATACTAATATTTATATATCCTTATATATAGTGAAAAAATAAAATTTTATCAGTATTCAGTATATTAAGTTTTTAATAGTATATTAGTATATCAAATATTGGTATATTAAAGTTAAACTGTAATTCTAATAATTTTTGATAAAGTTTTTTTTTAAAATAAAACTTAATATAAGTTTTATGTAACTTTTAAAATTATAATTTATAGTTTGCTTTACTTTTTTTTTTAATTACAGCATATTTATAAATTTATTAAAGTAATTAAAGTAATATAAAATATATAAAATAAAGAATTACACAATTAATCTAATATTATTAATTTATAAATTGCTTATCATATAATTAAATACTCTATATATTATAACCTTAGATATTAGAATAATTATATAATCAAAAGAATAATTACTCAAAGGATTTATAATATACTAAATAAAATTAAATATTTAGTTGAAGGAAGAATATTTAACTGAAATAATTAAAAAATATAATAAGTTATAATTATACAGTTATTTATAATAATATTTGTTTATAGTTTAGTTATTTATAATATTTAGTAATTTTAATTAATTATTTTTTTTTTTTTTTAATATTGCAGTATATTTAGATTTTTTATTGGAAAAAGTAAATTCAAGATACATCATACAAATGAAAATGAAAACAATAATTATTTTTAAAATAATTTATTATTAAAATTTATTACGTCAGTGATATAATAGTAAGAAGTAATAGGATAAACATTATACCAAAGGTTTAAAAACTATTTTTCAAAGTTTATTTTTGAAAGATTATTAGATGATTAATTTAGATTTACAATTTTTGGTAAAACATTAAAAAGTATAAATATAAGTGGAATTTGATAATTAATTTCACAATTAATAAAAAACTCAGAAAATAATTTTTTTTAAAATAAAATAGTTTTAAATAACTCAGTTAGAAAAATTTAGAAATAAAATAAATAAAAATATGTTTAACAATTATTAAAATATAAACTTTTGATTGTTTAGCCTTTTTTTATAATGAAAAATGCATGATAAAATAATGATTTAAATAGTAAAAAGGAGAAAACTTTTTGAGTTTATAAGTAAAGATTAAAAAGTTAAGCTAATTTTAAAAGTTAAAGTTATTGAAGTTAAAAATAAATTTAAAGTGAAAATCTTGTGAAAAAAAAAATAAAATATTAATAATAATATTTTAATAAAAAAATAATAATAAAGTTTTAAAATAAAATGCATGTTGTAAAATTTATTATTTTAATTTTTTATTATCTGAAAAATTTGAAACTTATAAAAAGAAGAAAGAAATAATAGTATCATTTCTTTAAAAAGAATTTGAAAATTACCTTCAAAATTTCATTTAAAAAGCATTCAAAAATCCAGAAATCTGTAAATTTACAAAAAAAAAGCAAAAAAAAAAAATTTTGAAAAAATTACCTTTAAAATTCAATCTAAATACCAGAAATCTAAAAATAAAAAATATCAAATGTTTTATTAAAAAAATAAAAATTAAATTCAAAGTTATTAATTATCTTCAAAATGATGTTTGAGATAGAATTCTGAGATAACTCAGATCCTGTGTAATAAAAATTTTAAAATGAAATATTTTATCTACAGAGATAAAATAGATAACAAGTCTAAAATCATTAAAATCTAATCACTAATTTTCAAAATAGCAAAATTTGAAGCCAAAAAATTAATATAACTTTATACATTTGAAGAATTTATTATAAATTTATATAAAATCAGATCTAAGTTTTTTTTTAGTATTATTTGGGATCCCTTTAAATAAACGTTAAAGGTTTAAAAAGTATTTAAATTTGGGTGAATCTAAAATATACAATTAGCATTTCTTAAGTAAAATTACTTTTCAAAATACCCTAGTAACTTGCGATTTTTGGTAGTCCCAAATGCGGGAATGTGGAAAACGGAAAACCGGCATAATAATAACAAACACTTTACTGTAGAACCTAAACAAGGCCACAGTTTTCCTATCTTTCCATGTAAGCAAGGTATATGAAATAATTTACTTTCATATATATATTTCTAAAAGATTAATACACGTTTCGATTTATTAATCAATTTATCCGATTTATCCTAAATTATGCTAAGTTTCATAATTGCAAAAAGTATTTATAACAATTCGATAAGATTTAAATAATTCATACATAAAATATCTAAGAAGGCCCTCCAAAAGGAAATAAGAACTATATATCTTATCTTTAAGATTACCTAAATCATATTTGTCTTCGCTCGAATGATCGACATCGTGTGACAACAGCTATCCTAACAGTTTAATAATTTTTTACCAATAATTTTGGGTGAAATAACGAAATCTCTGTGGCCTGTTTCTTCACGATGAGTTCTCAAAAGATATAAGTACCTATAGTTTGCGGTGCATCCTGGTTCTGTACATTTAAATTGCTCTTCGCCAGTATGTATTTTTTGATGTCTTCGTAAATGCTCGGCCCGAGTGAATTTGACTTTACAATTTTCCCATGTACAATAATAAGGCTTGATGCCAGTATGAGATCTTGAATGTCTTACTAAATCACTTCGGCAATCAAACTCCTTATTGCATCTAGAGAATTGACACTTGAATCGCTTATATTTGGAATGCACTTTCAGATGTTTTTTAAGGTTATCCGGTCGCGAAAAAGCTTTATCACATCCTCGACTTGTACATTTTAATTTTTCTCTTGTATGGATGTTCTGGTGCTTTCTTAGATCCGAAAACCTAGCGAATCTTTTACTACATTCGTTTATATTACAAATATGTGGTTTATCCTCGGGATGATTTTTCATTTTATGTTTTGTTAAGTCATTAGGACATGCGAACTTCATATTGCATCCGGGCTTATTACAAGTAGATGGCTTGCCTGGATGTATCCTTTGATGCAAGTGTAGACCAACTAATGTGGTAAAATCTCTTCCGCAACCTTTTACATTACATTTAAATGAGTTTTTTCGTGATTTTTGAGATTTAGTTTCTGATTTTATAGATGAGGATTTTACTTTCTTAGATAAAACTTAAATACATAATCAATAAATTAGTTTTCATGATAATCTCCTATGTAACAGATTAACATCTTATTCACCTTCGAGGTCATATTCCATACTTAAGTCGTCATCTTCACTAGCGTAATCTAAATATACATAATCACCGCTAGAATCGTCGTCGATAACGGCTTCATCATCGTCGTCAAAATCTGCACTATGATATTCATCAACGTCTTCATCCATATCGTTTTCCCCTTCATCAGTCTATTGAAAGATTATTTGACATATTTATAAAAGATAATCAAAATATTTTTTCATGCTTACTTCATTAGTCCAATTATCTTCACTCATAGAAGAACCAAAAATAGAACTATTTAGTGATATCGCATCATTTTGCAAAGAATTTGACGTTCTCCCAGTCTCTAACGCATAACTTGTTAGTAAGTCTTCGCTTTCTTGAGCGGAGAACAATGTTACACCAGCTCTGTTTGAGTACGGAACCTCGTCGGTTAACGTTTTATTCTTCTCAAGCTTCGACTCGGCGTCAGAGTAAGAGTCTGAGTCCGAGTCGAGAATTTCAGCGTCTTTAATAAATTAAAACATTTATTTATAAAATAAAAGCCTTTTCCATTCTAAGAAAGTAAAATTTTTACGGTTTTAACCTGAGTTATGTTCATATACTGGATATTCGATAATAGTAAGAATTGGTAACCTAGCCATTTCGAAATTTTTCTGAAGCGTTGAAGAATTTTTTTTAAAAAAAAGGTTACTCAACTTCCTAACAGATGTATTATCAGATAACAGGTTACTCATTTTAGATATATAAATCATGGGTTGAGGAAATGACATAATCGAAGAGAGATCAAGAAGTTGAAAATGTAAAAAGATTGGCACAGTATGCACATTCTGATTGAATGATAAAATTCAGTTACACAAAATGAATTTAAAGTTTTTTAATGATTACTCACGATCATTTTCTGTGCATAGAAAACCGTCTTGTATCACATTCTTATTAACTTATCTATTCTCTCTATTCTGTCGGATTTTTGAGATACGTACTAAACAGATCAGAACAGTCCAACAAGTTTAGCAATATATTCTTGCTTTCCTCAGCATATGCATCAAGCATGTAATCTAAACAGCAAAATCCAAATTTAAATCAACTTGAAATAGAACAAGTATACTGTATATTTAGGATTTTAGTTGCCATACTGATATTAAAAAGTTTACTTATTTTAGGTTAGAAAGGATGAAGATGAAGATGAATGTGGCCAAAAACAAGATCCTTTTGATGACATGATGGAATCAAAGTATTACTTAATTATATTCATTAAAATTATTCAGCTTAGTCTAAGGAAAAAAATCTAGATTTTATAATGATATACGAATAATGTTTTACCTAATAAAAGAAGCAATAACGTTTTCATTTGCAAAGAAGAAAATTACTTCTATTTCTAAAATGTACTGTAATTAAGATTCTTGTTCTTTAGAAATGACTGCTTCATGTTACGGAACATGTTTAGCATTTTGTCCCGAGGAGTGATCGGCGTAAACACGTGATTTTTTAAATTGCCAGAAATCTATTGAAGAAATGTGGTGACTGCTAATCGGAACAATAAAGCTATTGTATCTTATGTGCCGCATATAAAACGGATTGCGCCTAACGGCCAACGGATGTTGCCGGTGACTATTTAGATTTGATACACGAGGTCTGATATATACTGTATACCATACCCCAACTTTTCTTATTGTGATTTTCATTCGTAGATGACGTAAATAAATTACACCGAAAGGCTTTTGTTGCAGAATGCAGATCTATAATCTCCATAAAAATGTCGGCTGTAAAGCAAAATGCCTTTCTATTTAAATCAAAGCATTTTTTCGCGCAAGTTATATATACTTTGAATATATTTTTGTAAAAAAACAATGTGGGGGTTTCATTTGAAATATTATAACTTTCTTCTAATTTTCTAAATAAAACAGTTTTACTTACTGGGTTCTCTCTCTTTGTTGGGAAACAGTGAAGAAAACAAATTTTTTTATTACCATAGTCTGCAAGTGTTTATATACTACAGGGCTGCCATATGCCACAACAAATTTATTCGTATTCCCCAACAACTCCCACAAGTCCACTCGCTTATTCAACTTCGTCACATGGATCTATACCGATCCCAATTACTAACCAAAGAAAAGCGAGCGTGTTTTACCCAAGTCGTAATAATCACACTCGTTCTTCTTCCAGTAGTTCCGGGTTTATTGATACACCATCCCTAACGACTTCATCGTCTACGCCTAATAGTTTTAGGTCGATGAGACATAATTCGTTACATGGTCAATTTAGTATCGGTAGTTTAGTAGGCAGTTATGAGGTATCGTAAATATAATTCTGTGATGTACTCAGTCCAGCTCATTATTAACCACTTTTTTCTTCACTTTTCAGGAATCAATACTAAATGGTCGTATGTCCACGTTCCCATCAAAGCCAATTACCTTTATTGCACAAATAGGAGTATTAGGTAGAGGAAAGTGTAAACAATCATTAAAATGTCCTCCACATATTAATCTTACATTTCCTGCACATTTTTATGAGTTACAAGATGTTGATAATCCAGTGACACCATATGTTGGAAACGTTGATTTAGAAAATGGATTGACTGGTGAAAGATTTAAAAAATTTTCTGGTGGTTATCGAATCCCATTGAAAGGACAATTACAAATAGTTATAAAAAATTTAAATAAAACTGCTGTAAAAATTTTTTTAGTTCCTTATGATTTATCAGATATGCCGCCAGGCACAAAAACTTTTATCAGACAAAAATCTTATACAATTCCTTCATCTTATAATTCAATGATCCAATATTATGGTGTGGGGGATAAAACCAATAACAATAATAATGATTCATTCACAAAGTCGACTTTAAGATATGCTATTCATTTACAGTTTTGTTCTCCGGCAAAGAAAAAAGTTTATCTTTACAAATATGTTAGAGTTGTATTTGCAAATAGAGTTCCTGACGGAAGCGAAAAATTGAATGTTGTTAATATTGGTCCTGGTGAGCCTAAATATGTTCCAATGGGAAGTTTGAATCTCAAAGGATTATTAGGTTTAGGTTTGGTTGAAGAAAATCAACAAGATTCTGATAATGATGGTAGGCAAGATGAGGAGAGACAGAGAAGGGAGAAAAAGAAAACAATAAAAAAAGACGGTGTTAATATTGGAAAAATTATTGGAAGTAATGGTGGTTCTGCCTTATCTGAAAAATTCAGACAAATCTCTAAGGACAACGACGAGAAATCTTCAAGTATGATTATTGATGGTGAATAGAAAGTTGTAGATGTATTAACTAATTTATTAATTTGGGTTTCAAATGGTAATTCCTTTATCGTAATGTAAATAATAAGATTAGTCAAATTCTTCAAAATTGAATAAATTAATTTATTGTTCTTGTTTGGTCAATAATAATATTATTTTTCTGCCAGTAATTTACCCATTCTCAATATGTTAAAAAATACTTAAGTGTGGAGAATTATTAATTTTTTTAAAAAAATGTTTTTTATTTTTTTTATTTATAACAAAAATTATTTCAAAAATGTTAATATTTGTTTTTTTTTACATTAATGTGCAAGTTAAAGTGAACTTGAAAAAGTAGATCTTTCTACTACTTTAATTGTACTCAAACCACGTAATAATAAATTTGGTGGAAATTCTTATGATGTATATAGATAAAAGCGGAATAAGGATTTCCAAAGTATAAATACAGAGATATATACTTATATCATCTAATTAAATAATTAAAATTTTACAATTTTTTTTTTCGACTTAATTTTTTCAGTTTGTATAGTTTTCATAGTGTTCATAATGTTAACTTTTTCATCAGACTTATCTTTAATTTGAATGTGAAAGTCGTCATCATCAGCACCATGTTGCAGATTCAATTTACCTACAACACTTATTCCAATACCTATAATATATAAAATGAAAAAGTTGAAAATCATAAAACAATAATATAATTAAGAAATAATTCTAGTTAATTTTACCTTCTTTACTTTTTAATGTGCAGTCCTTAGCCAAATGAGTTACTTGATTACAGAATCTACATGATCCACCATTAGGATATAATCCTTTTTCGTTTTTTGGGCATTGCCTTGAAAGATGCCCTTGCTCATTACAAACAAAACATTTTGCATAGGCATATTCATTACCTGTTTTGATAGGTTTTTTGCAATCTTTGGCATTATGTTCAGTTGAACCACAATTGTAACACATGCCTACACCTTGCTCTTTTGCGTTTGGACAATCCTTAACACTATGTCCATTTTTTCTGCATCCAAAACATATCTGCATAGATAAAACGTGTTTTCTTAGTTTTGTTACATTATGTATGATAGAAGAAAAGTAATTCAATATTATTATCGTACAGTTTTATTTTGACGTTCTTTTATCCGTCTCAATCTACGTTTTTCTGATTTCGATCTTGCTTCTGAAATTTCCGGAATTTCATACATCTGATTTGATTACTTGATTACACGATATAAAATAGAAAAACTAAAAAGAAAAAAATATATTAAATACCTGTATTGTTTTTCTTTCCGGATTTCTTGATATTATATGGTTTTCTTTCATTTTTGTTTTTCTTTCCTAATTCAAATAATTCAGGATCAAGCTGAAATTTTCTTTTATTTTTCTGATTTGTAGCCTCAGTTATTTCCGGATTTTCTTGTTCAATTACTTTATCTGATTGAAGTGGTTTAATATTATATCCTTCAAAACCAGCAGCCTTTACATATTTCTTCTTTTCCAATTTAGTATATCTTGTCATTTTATATTTTATTAATTTTATTAGATTTTAAGATAGTGAATAATTAACGATCTGAATTTATTTGTACAAATTACATGTGACTTTCTTGATAATCAGTTTCACAAAAAAATTGTTGCTTTTACATTTTTTTTCTTACGAAATAAAGAAATAAATAAAATAATATAAAATTAAAATATGCTTACATGCCGGCTACCGAGACTTACAAGACTTTATAGTGTTGCCTCGTCCCTTAAGGTATTAATTAATTTATAAAAATTATTATAATAATTGATTTAAATTTTTGTTATGATTTTAGGTAGCGAATAGCTTCATTGATGCGATAGGAAATACCCCTCTGGTAAGTAAACTCATTATGTTTATATTATGGTTCCCAATCTATCTATCTTATTGAAAAACAAGCAAATTAATCCAGATACGACTAAAAAGATTAAGTGAAGAAACGGGATCGGATATTCTTGCAAAAGCCGAATTCATGAATCCCGGCGGTTCAGTAAAAGACCGCGCTGCTCTATTCGTCATCAAAGATTCAGAGGAAAAAGGTTTATAATAATATATTTAAATATATGATAATAGTGATTATAAATCGTCATTTACATTTTTATATAGGTGAACTTAAAGCGGGTGGTACTGTTGTGGAAGGCACTGCCGGTAGGGATATTTTTTTCTAGAGCTTTACAAACTTTATCATGTGAATGCTAATTATTGATAAATCATTTATTCACTTAATTATTAGGTAATACAGGCATTGGGCTTGCTCATGTTTGTAGATCAAAAGGATACAAATGCGTAATTTATATGCCAAACACTCAAAGTCAAGAGAAAATTGACCTGCTTAGGATGCTAGGTAATAAAAAAAAATTATATTACAATAGTTTTCTTTAGAAACATAATTATCATTTAATTATTATATTTCATTTTCATTTTTAGGAGCGGAAGTTTATCCAGTTCCGGCAGTCGCTTTTGAAAATCCAGAAAACTATAATCACCAAGCTCGAAGACACGCAGAAAAACTACCAAATGCCGTTTGGACTAACCAATTTGATAACATTGCAAATCGACGCGCACATCTGGAAACTACTGGCCCGGAAATTTGGGAACAAACTAATGGCCTTGTTGATGGCTTCACGTGCTCTACCGGTACTGGTGGCACCCTTGCAGGCGTAACTCGTTTTTTAAAAGAAAAAAACCCAAAGGTTAAATCATTCATTGCTGATCCACCAGGTTCAGTCTTATATAATTACTTTAAAAGTGGTGGAAAGGTGTTGAACGAGCGCTCGGGAAGCTCGATAACTGAAGGCATAGGACAAGGGCGTGTAACTACCAATCTTCAGCCAGATGTAGATTTAATAGACGATGCATTATATATTTCGGATGAAAAATCTATCGAAATGGTGTACAGACTGTTAGATGAAGAAGGTCTCTATGTAGGCGCGTCAACAGCACTAAATGTTGTAGCTGCAGTCGAGATGGCGAAAATACTAGGACCAGGTATACAATCCTCCTATTAATATTACAGAAGAAAAATTTTGTATTTTGACACGTAATCTATTCATTTCGAAATAACTAGGAAAGAAGATTGTCACAATTCTTTGCGATGGTGCATATAGATATCAAACGCGGTTATTCAGTAGGTTGACCTCAATTGTTTACACCAATTCATATATTTGTACCAACGTTAAATAATATCTTCTTATTTCAGGTCGAAAATGGTTAGAAAGTAAAGAACTACTTCACGCAATTCCAGAACATTTGAAAAAATATATTGTTTTACCTTAAATAGAAAAGATTAAATTACTTCAATTTTTATTTATTCAATTCTTAAAAAAAATTAATTTAAAGAGTTTGCATTTCTTTGTCATCTAAAAAAGTATGTAATTAATAATTTTAATCAAACCTCAATAATATTGGCAGATTAATTCATCCAATTCATTTTTAAATCATTTGTCCATCTTCGTAATCTGTGTAAAGCTCCGTCAAAAGTCAAAGCTGGGCGAACGTCCAAATAAAAGCTGACCGCTTGAGGAAATTTTGGATCAGGCTGTCCGGAGTAAAAATCAATTACATATGTCACTTGTTTTCCGCAACGATCAACAACCCAATCGTGTCTATCAAAAGGAAGCTTATAACTTCATAATTAAAAAAGCATCATTTAATAAAAATGTCTTTAATTCAATAGTTAACATATTAAAAAAGAAAACTTACCCTAACAAATTAAGTAATCGGGCTTTCGGCGTGATATTATTTACTTTACCTTGGAATTTTACCAATTTTGGTCCGCCACATTTGCTATTTTCATATATAATAAATGGATTATTTAAAATCGCGATAATAAAGTTTTATAAATACTCACTTCTCGTGTAATTTTTCCCATTCTAAGATTTCTTTCCATGCTTTTTCATTAACTGCATTGTGCATTGGTATAACAACACGCATATCTTCTTCCCTTGGATTCCAATTCTTACGTTTCATTGCATTAAAGAACATTTGTTCCGACGGATATATCCACACTTTCTCTTCATTACCATCGTTAGCTGACTCCGACTCGGCATTATTTTTATTTTTAAGCACACGCGGAATGTTTGAAAGTTCGCGCGTTGTGCTAAGAGGAATACGTTGTCCCTTTGTTGGTTTTTGATTTGGATGTAAAGGCATATTATTTGATTCATTTATCAATGAGTCACTACCACACCCTTCTCTTTCACTATTTGTGGTATCTTGTAGGTTTTTTTGGTCTGGAGGCTGCATATTTGTCGAAGATGCTGGACATTGCTGCAAATTAGTAACGTGCTGTGAAGCTGGCCCTTTTTCAGTGTTAGGAGGAATAAATGAAGACCATGCAGAATGGTTTACAGGACAGGAAGACGCTCCTGTCGAATTCGTTGAAGACGTATCTTGCATTAAAGATGGAAATGGTAAAGTTGAACCATTCCCCGAGATCTAGATCTTATATAATTATGCAGTGTAACAAAATGCAAAGGGTATATAAAGTCCCAAATTACATATTCGTGCAAACATACTTCACTACTTTTTAAAAATTTGCCAAAATGCCGCTTAACACCTACAATCCAAATCGACTTAAAGTTCAATTAAAATTGGCGATTAATCGACTTAAACTTTTGCAACAGAAGAAAAACTCAATCAATAAACAGCAACGTAAAGAAATTGCCAATTTATTAGAAAATTCAAAGACGGAAAGTGCTAAAATACGGGTAAATTTTCGTTTAAATTAATTGTTTCAATAAATCATTTTTTGAATTTTGATTATTCGTCAGGTTGAAGGAATCATTCGAGAAGACTATTTTATCGAAGCACTGGAAATTCTTGAACTTTATTGTGATCTCCTCATGGCTCGTTTTGGACTTATTGAGCAAATAAAGTAAGATATAAGAGTAACATTGATTGTTTATTTGACTAGCAGTGAATTAATGTTTCTTTTATAGACATTGTGATCCGACAATAAGTGAAGCTGTAAATACATTGATTTATGCCGCACCTAGATCGGAGATAAAGGAATTAGGACAGGTAATGGAAAATTAAATTGTATATATATATATATATTTTTTTATTTTAAAAAAAAATATTATTATTATTCTTTAGGTACGCGACCAATTGATTGGTAAATATGGAAAAGAGTTTGCTTTGAATGCGATTGATAATAAAGATGATTGTGTTAATGAAAGGGTAAATACTTAATGTGTAATATAATTATAAAATATTTTAATTCTTTTATTGATTTTTGGTTTGCTTTGATTTTGTAGATTATACAGAAACTTATGTTTAGTACACCAGATCCATTTTTGGTAAATCGATATCTTGAGGAAATTGCTAAAACATATAATGTAAATTGGAAAGCAGACGATATAGATTTGATTTCGGTAAATTTCAGAATTTTAAATTTATTCTTTGGAACAATTAATTTTATTAATTATACATTATTTGAAAGGCGGATTTGTCGTCGAATTCACAAGTTAAGAATAATAAATCGAGTTCAGAACCTACGTATACTGCATTACCAGATATGGATTTATTGATGTCGTTAAATAATGATGCAAAAGGTGAAAGCAACCAGTCGGTAAGCGGACGAGAATGAAGAATGTGACGTCCTTCATCCAGCTTCTTTCGATCTAATAGTATATTGAATTACTATTTTTCAAAGACATCAACACCAAATTCCGCATCAATTTTGGACAATTCAGATAATATACTTCCAGATGTTCCAATCGGTCCACCTAAGAATCATTCAAAAAATAGTCTTGGTGCCCCTCCGTCGCCCATTTTACCTCCTGCAAATCAATCAGATGAAGATAAAGATATCGTTAATCCACCTCCTTATTCAAAATTGGACAACAATAACGAAAAGCCAAGTTCAGGTAATTCTAAAATGACAACTGATGAAGATGATGAGTTAATTAGAAGGTTTGAAGCTTTAAAGAAGAGATAGTTAAAATTATTTATAATTAGTTTATTGACTTGATTTTAGCCTTGTACAAGTTAATCTTTCTATTAATTATCATAATTATAGATATTATTTATAAATTATTTTACTTTATATTAGTTTTATTTCTTATTCGGAGATAGAAATAATAATGTAAAATATTTTTAATATATTAAATCTTTTTTTAAGAATGCAGTTACTATACTGGTTACAAAATACAGTACGTTAAGAAAATAAATGATGTTTTTAATATAAAACTGGTAAAAGACAAATGTAAGTATTTATAAAAACAACAACAAAATATGTTATTTGCCTTTGTGTTTAATATATTTGTTAAAAAAGTCAGTTAATTGCAACTTTTATTACAATAATCTTAGAAACATAATTAATATTGAATTTAAAGTTCAAATTCACATAAAAGTAAATATTTATTTAATATGCAAATTTCGATAAATTAATTCTTTTTCATGAATATATTCAAGTCCAATGCAATAGATTAATGTAAAAAAAAATTAAAGAAATTTTTTAAAAAAAAATTAGAAAAATGGGGTTCGGATTAATAAATATTTAGATTTAGAACAAACATTTTTAATATAACTACATCGATTTTTTATAACCATTGATCTCAATTGTATCAAGTGGTAAGTAAAAATCTGTAAGTTTTAACATATTTAATAATCTGCCAAAGCAAGTTAAAAAATATGTAAATTATTTTTATCAAACTATAATAGTAATAAACATTAAATGTATTTAATAATATATTATAATAATTTATAGGATATCACCACCAATTTTTCTTCACACCATAAATACTATTTTCATCCACTTTACCTAAAACTAAGCAACTTCAAGAGCAGCTTCTAATTTCTTTTCTTTCTGTGGTTGCTTTGTTTCTACTTTTTGCTTTTGCGGTATTTGTTGTTGTGGTATTTGATCAGGAACAGGAGGAAGTTTGTCAAGTTTACCAACAAGCTAGAAGATTAATATGAAAATAAATTAATTTCAATTATAACATCATATTAAAGCACTTCAAATATTTACTTGTTCATTCACAATTTGATCTAATTCGGCCAATATCTCTTCTTCATCTTCACTAGTTAGTTTTCCACTTAATGCCTCTGAAATTTCCTATTTAATTAAAATATATTACTAATTTTCTTTGTTACATAAACCAACATATATGTAATAAATCAGTAACAGAAAAATTTACATTTTGATAAGCTATGGCATCTGCAGTATCTTCCATCAATTTCTCAACCTTTTCAATAGGCGTTTCCTTATGAATTTCATTTAGAATTAAATTTCCTTGTTTTAATCCCTCAAATACATCCTTTTCTACTAGTGTAAACTCTATAGTTTGAGTCTTATGTTTAAAAATAAAAATTAATGAAAAATTCGATTGATTTTTAAAATATAAAAGCTTAATAAACAAACCAATTGCTCAAGATTCAATAATTGTGCATCGGATTTACTAAGTAATTGTTCTTGATATTTCTTCTTCTTCAAAGCTAAAAGAGCACCACGTTTATTATTTTTAAGTAATGCTTCTTTTGCTATTTGAGTTTCTCTATCTGCTACTAATTGAAGCTTTTATTAAACCAATTTGGTTGCAAATTAGTACGTATAAAAGATAAATTATTCGACTAAAGTTTATTTACCTTTTTTTGATACTGCTTTAGTTTATCACGTTGAACTTTCAAATCAAGTATGGCACGATCCTGAGAGGTTATTCTACTATTTTTATTTCCCATCGATAAAAACTTGTCAAATATATTATCAAAAAGTGAAAAGCAAAGCAAAGCTTTATCAAATTTGATCTGCACACTGCAGCTCTATTGGATAATTATTTATTATTGATAGTCCGTTGAATTCTTGTACGTTTAAACATTCACGAAGTTACTATTCAATGCAGAACCAACAAGAAAAAACACCAACAGAATTCTTAAATAATGTCATTGGTAGGCCTGTACTTGTTAAGTTGAATTCAGGTGTTGACTATCGAGGTAAATATTAAAATTATATTTCCATAAAAATCTTTTTAATTGATATCAAAAATTTTTTATTAGGAATTCTATCTTGCTTGGATGGTTATATGAATATTGCTCTTGAACAAACTGAGGAATGGGTTAATGGTCAACTTAAAAACAAGTATGGTGATGCATTCATACGCGGAAATAATGGTATAATATAAATATTTATAACTTATTTTCTATGCGAAAGAAAATATATTTAATGACTTTTTTTTATATATATATATAGTTTTGTACATCAGTGCTGATAAATCTAGATAACTTCGAATATATTGATATATTGTGTTCTTTGTACTGTTCTTTGTATAAGGAGAAACTTTTACTTAATTATGTTTTTCATCAGGTAAATTTTGATCTTCTTAATATTTTTAATAATGTTGATATTATATATGTAAATAATAAATGAATTAATGAATTGATATTCGTTTTAAATAATAGAAATTAATTCGAATATATTTGATGTATATTATGAAATGACTAAAAATTACTATAATAATATGAAAGGTCGTATTTACTTTTAGATATTGTTCAAAAGTATGATATAAAGATTGAACGGATTAATAATTAACTGATTTAATGAATATGAAATATTTATAATAAAAAAAACTAAAATGATTTCTTTTAAAAATATAATAAAAATAATAAAATTAATAAAATTAAATATATACAAAAAGAAAATAATTTATTCTATCGTTCGTGTCTATACCATACTAGTCATAATATCTATCACCATATCTATCGTGTCTTTCTCTATCATTATACCTATCATTATATCTATCATTATACCTATCATTGTACCGATCATTGTACCTATCATTGTACCTATCATTGTACCTATCATTGTATCGATCATTGTACCGATCATATCTATCCGTATCACGCTCTCTTTCACGATAATCACTTCGGTCATCATAACCATTCTTACTTCTTGGAGGTGCATAATCACTTCGATCATCATAACCATTCTTACTTCTTGGAGGTGCATAATCACTTCGATCACTTCGATCATCATAAACATTGTT